GTGCTTGAGGCAGCACAGCAACACTTGGGAAGGAAAAGAGAGAGGGGAGGAAAACTCATTGTTTGCATCAGTCTCTAGATTTAGCAACTTCAAAATTAGGATGAGCAACTGGGTTTTGGGTTGGTTTGGTGGTGGAGGTTTTTTTTGTTGTTGTTGTGGGTTTTTTTTTAGTGGAAAGACTGTTCTCAATATGCTGGTAAGTCTTCTGTGGTATTCAGTCTTACTGAAAGCAGTACAAACTGATTTTGAGATCCACTGATGACCTCTTAGAGGTTAAGGTTGAATGTATTTTATAAACCAACCCAACCTGCTTACCTTTTCTGGCAAGTAACGAAGAAAAGGCAATCTGCATGTTCTCGTTTGTACTTCTTTTGATGAAAATAAGTATATTCAACACCCCATTGCCAGCATATAGTGTACATTTAATGTTGCAGTGCTTTGGAAGAATGTTGCCACAAAATGATTTAGTCCTAAATTATAAGCTACTCTTGACTTTGACATTTTGTACTCAGCTATTAGCAAGAGGATTGCTTTAGATTTATTAGATGGTAATTGGATAACATCTTCAAGTCTTTGTCTAGTTGTGCAGTTCGTGTCTCTGTAGGAACTTTGTCAGTGTATACTAATGTGTATTTGAAAAATACACACTGATAGTATTATTTGTGTTATTATTAAAAACACATGGATTTATCTGGTATGCTCCAGTACTCAGATTTGGCTTTTTACCCAGGAGATGCCATTGCTTGCTGCCTGATTTTCTTGTTTTGGTGTTGTGCTTTTTAGGGGCTCCCAGAACTAGAGGGGAGTAGCTAAATACACAGAATTCTTTTGCATAAAATATTTCTCTTTGAAGCAGGCTCTCTTTTGTGAGCTCTTCATCCTTTTCATTGCTTCCCTTTTGTCTTTGTCTTACAGAAAACTGAAATAGGCAGCACTCAAGGTTGGAGCCCTTTGAATATGTGTGCTGTAGATTCAGCTCCCTAACTCCCTTTTTTCCCCTTTGATTCTTAGATACAGCAGTCCCCTTGAAAATTCGTGAAAAATTCACCTCAGCTGTAAATAACACTGTTGCCAACTGGTAAAGTTTGAAACAAGCCTTAAGTAGTATATGTATGCACATGAGCGTACATATATATATTTTTAAATCTGAGTTTTGTAAACAGATCCTTGCAATTGTTTTTCCACCCTGGAGGTTTTAAAGTCAATATTGCAGCTTTGTAAGTGCTAAATGCTTTACCTGTGCTTTGTGTATGTTTTTCCACCTGCATGTGTGTGTATTTATGCATCACCGAGAATATTTAAAGGACTAGCTTTTTTATTTTCTTGGGGTGTAGCAGCTGCTCCTTGGAGAGTTGTAGATGTAATACCCGAGTAGTACAGAAGTGCTTCTTGTAGAGTAGCATCATGCACTACCAAGTTACCAAAGAAAAATGGGAATCGATGCCTTTCTGCGCTTCATCATGGAGTCTGATTTTTGTGACTGAGTGATAAAATGATAAATACACACAAAGCTTTTAGCAGGGGAGAAGATCTCAGAGCCTGGTGTCATTGGTAGCAGCTTGCCCAGGGCTAGGAGTCTTCTAGTGTACGTGGTGACAGCCGTTCTAGTGCGTCGCCCCACGTAAGTTAGGAAAAATGTGCCATGCTGAAGTACAGCATTCCTGGAGTGTTTCTCCTCCCTGAGTTACTCATGTGTTCCCTTCCTGAGCCTTTGCTCACAGACAAAGCCAAGCCATTGTGTAGGACACTTATCACTGCCCACCAGAACCAAACCAAGGCACCACGTCTTGCACCACCAGTGCAAACAGGACTGACTTGGAAGGGGCAAGGGGTTTTGTTTGCTTTTTTTAACTAGAGCAGGGAGATCAGTTTAGCTTTCTGTATTGAGTGTAAGGACAAAATTCCAGCTTCAGTTTGCTTTTAGTGCTTAATATTTATTTCTGTCTGTCTTGGAGCATGTCTCTGCCAGTGTTTATAGAGTAATGTGGATCTGCTAGTGCTCTGCCCTTGCCAGGCAGTATGTGAGACATGAACTTGGTTCCTATTTCTTTTGGTTTCAGAGATGTCAACACTGATTATTTTTTTTTTATTTTAATACCATGTATTTGTTCGTAATGGCAGCAGCTTGTAAAGCTTAGTAAGGAATCTGAGTAGGTTACAGATAAGTATTTACTAATAGCACATCAAAGAAATTTGACTTTGCTTATTTTTCTTAAAACTAAATACTGTGTTTTGATTTTACATTGCTGAAATATGATTAGATTATGTTGAAATGCTCTTTCTTTTTTTTCCCTGAGATGTGACGTGGTTGGGGCTACAGTACTAACAGGATTAATTTTATTTTTCCATCACTCCTGATGGCATTTCTATGGAGAATGATTTAGTAATTGTTTCCAGAGAAAATTGTTCAAAGAGTTTTCTGAGCAGAGGCTCTTTGAGAGCTTGGCAGGTTGCATATGGTTGTTTTTAGCTTGTGAGACTCGCTCAGGTTTCTGGAGTCTGTTTACTCTTGGTTGCATGCAAAGTGCTGTCAGTGTTGAAGCGCTGGTATAGTTTGATTCCTAGCTCTTCCACAGATATTATTTTCAAAAGGATGAATTTTTAGACAAAAAGTCTAGATATTATTGCCTACAGCTTGGAATTTGCATCTGTTTATGCAAATTCCTGGTCAGTAGATAAGTAATTTGAATTTTCAAAGCTGTTAAGGCCTTAAAATACATATATGTGTGTGTGATTAAGTTTGTTTATCTACATCTCTATCTACATCTGTCTGTATCCACATGGAAGGTACAGATGCTCTCCGTGCTCCTGAAAATTGGAGTTGTTTCTTCACTTGCTTAAATATAGATCTCCTGCAGAGCTTCAGTAACTGGCTTTTAAAAATCTTAAGCTATATTTCTGAAGTTGAAAAATGTTATAATAAATTAATATGGAGGAATAAGAAGGTGGTTGTCAAAATCTGTGTTTTCTGCTTTTTAAATTTATATCAGAGATGAACCTTGAAAGGGCTCTATGGAAAAGATTCTGGAAAACCGTTTTGACTCAGTCAAAATATTTTAAAGAGATTAGATGATAACATTAACAGATCCCTAGGAAAAGACACAGCAAATTGTTCCAAGATATCCGTTTTGGGAACTTCTGATATTGCTTCCTTCTCTTTTCTGCCAAATTTGATTTTGCAGAGTGGTTTTGTTTTACTGAAACTGTATTTTAGGTAGGACGATTTAATTTTGCCAGAAGTCTGTGATTTGATCTGGCCATGTGCTGATGATGGAGTTTATAACCTCTCCAGGTAGGAATCCTGTTTCAGGTGCCAGTATATGCTCTGCCAGAATGTGGCATTTGGGCATCTTCACATACTGCTTCCATTTGATGTCATCCTTCCCTAGTAATTTATTTCCAGCTGTTTCTGCTATACTTCAGCTGTTCGTTAAAACCGATCTGGAATATTTGGGCTAATACATAGGAGATGGAAGCGTGTGTCCCAGCGGTCTGGCTCTTGGTTTTGTCTTCAGCCCATGCGTGCTCCTGCCAGTCTCTCTGCTAAGGCAGAAGATGCAGAATCTTGGTACCTGTTTTTTGGGAGCCCAAGTGATATGTTGGATCTGCTGTCCCAAACTCCTGCCAGATCCATCTCCCTCAGCCTTGATGAAGTGTGATTGTCTTCCCTGTTGTCTGTGGTCTTTGAAGAAGAAAACCGTGTTAAAATCTATGGAAAGGTGAAGTTCCAGCTGCAGCCAGTAGATTGTTACCTTCATTTCACCCTACACTGTGGTGTGTTTGGTTGTCACATTTCAAGTAGGAGTAATGGAAATGTGAAAGCAGGTTTTGCACGGCTTTGCTCACTCTTTCCAGCACGTGTATTCACGCTTATTGCAAGTACTTACAAGTAATGAACATGAATATCAATTTCCTTTGTACAACAATGAAGGGTTAAACATAGTTCTGAAATCTGTCGTGAACTTTTCATCAAAGTACCCTTCTGAGCTCCAAACTGGGTTTGCTGCTTGTTTGGACGTCCCTGCAAGCGGTGTCGAGACAAATGCAGTTGTCTAGAATTTACACTGTACAGTGTTTTGCAGATGTTGACAAAAATGAGTCCCTTGCTGGCTTTGTTCCCTCCTCTCTTTCGGTGACATCTTGAATTTTTAACGGTTTTAAGTGTTGGCGTTCATTGAGTAACCTGGAATGAGTGATACTTTCTGCTTTTACATCCTTTTCCAGAGTCCTTTGCTACTGTCAAGTTGTCATCTCCTGTTTATAGGTGCAGAAGGGAAGCAATTCCCTGGCAGTGGGGACCGCTCAGCTCTTTGGCTTTGATCACTTAGTATGGGATGACATGGGGATAGGAACATGCTACCGAAGGTGGGGGATGCCTGGAACAGCCACGCTCTGACATAATCCTGAGTTATGCAGCCCCAGATGGATGAGGAATTAAGGTCTTATTCGGCACTAGGGGGTTACAGGGATCAGTCCTTTGTTCAGGAGGCCGTAAAGGACTTTGTGAAGAGTCAAATACAGAATGGGCAAGAGGTTGCGCCATGGACCACATTTGAACCTCTTGCAGGAGTTGTGTGGTTTGTCAAAACTGTTTTAGGAATAACTTTGGCATTTCTGTTAGGGAATTCCTTTTGCTGGCTGTGTGGTATTAGTGTGCATATTTGTCTTTGTTTATGGAGGAAGGTCTTTTTTTTTTACCCTAGGGTGCTGATTTGAAACAATGCCATCAATCTGGTAGAGAAACTGTTGCTTTCAACTGTTGTTCTTCAGGGAAAATCCTCAGAAAGCATGTACAGAGTTTAACAGGAGAATCCTGATTGCCCGATTGGTTTTTGTTGTTGTTGTTGTTTTTCTTGTTGCATAGTTGTTATAGTTGTTGGTTTGTTTGTAGTGGCTTTTAAGTAAATGAAAATCTAATGATGGATCTTCTAAATTTAGGAAATCCTGTATGAATGTTTACTACCATCAGAGACTAATGCTTGTCTTTATTTTCTGTTTCCAGACTCACTGGACCTTCAGGGTATGTAACGGATGGGCCTGGAAATTACAAATACAAAACAAAGTGCACCTGGCTCATTGAAGGAAGGTGAGTGTAGTAAGCATCTTGGGTTTTTGTGAATTTGCTTATTGTGACTTTGATGTGTGGTTTATCTTCATTGATTATTTTTAGGTCTCATCATTCTTTTTTGTTATTCTTAAAACTAGGTAGAGCAGCACTTAGTTCTTCCCTCCAAACTGACTTCTCAGTCACAAGTTTGCTGTGTAAAATTGAACATTGAAACTGCATGTGGAAAATGAGAATAAATGCATCTGTGTAAATAAATTAAGAACTAAAAATTATTTAACTGTTATTGCAGTGGGCCATTTAGATCTTTGGGATTCGCTGTGTATGGGATTTTTTTGGCAGTATGAACAAAATAGAGCAAACTATTAAAGCCTTTATTCATGAAGAATCAGTTTCTGTAATGATACACTTCAGATGATTATTTACTCACTAGGTCATGAGGACTTCAGAGGGACCATTCACAATTTTTGCAAGAAGTCTCTTAAACCTCTTCCCCTCATTTCTCTGCTCTTCCTGTATTTGATCTTTATATTGCTTTCAGTGATTTATTGCTGAGATTTTGGGAGTAGCCTATTTAGTGTGTATCCTCTGACTGTCACCTGATTAATGGTGCAGCAGTTCAGAGCCTCTGACTTGTTGAAATATGTTTTTCATAGCACCAGGCTGACGCCAGGACTGTAAAATCAATTTGTAGAGTCTGTAAAACTTTGCATGGTCAGTTATGATGCTGTGTGTTAACAGCTATGTGTTAAGTCACATTCTGTACTGTTCCCCGAATCTGTGAGTGGAGAGGTTTGTGAATAGGACCATGTGAGAGGATGAATGATTTCACTTGTGTTGAACGCCTGTAAGCTGAGGTCTCTTGGCATCTTGGAGGATCAGAAATTACTAAAAGCCCAGGGTACACTTTTTCCCTTAGTTTTTCTCTCTATGATTGGGAGCTCCAATGGGTGGAGGGGAATTGGTATTCATTTCGTCTACTTCAGACATTTATTTTGGATGAGTAACTTAAATACCTAAGCTCCGAGAATATTCAACGGTAAGGGCTAAGCTGTTCCAGAAAGCCATCTAGAGCACTGAAATTGAGAGCCTACCACTCACTATTAACTATATAAGGAGCCCAGTTCTTTAATGTGGTTAAGATCAAAGTTAGATGCTGTAAGTGGCAACACCTCTTAATTTTTGCAGGTAGTAAAAATACAACTGTGGCCAGTTTGGAATCACAAATAATTAAATAATGTTTTGCAAGAATGTTATTACAGACAAACCAGCCTCAGCAATTCCAGTAGAGCCAGCTTAACACTTGTAACTTCTTTTTCTAAAGGATAACGTGAGTCATGTTTTTATCAGAAGTGAAGTGTTGCTCATGGGTCCCCGATAATGTCACCATAACTGCTCCATCAGCCTTTGTTTGCTAGTACTGAGAGGCTTCCTAGAGAACTATCACTTTGTGGGGTTTGAAGTGAGATGCTACTTGCTGTTAAGAGGTGTACGAGAATGTTCCTCCTCCTTTTGTGCCAGGCATTTAAGTCGGTATGTTTTTCCTGCTTCTGATTCTTTGTACCCTGCTATCAGAGGACGGTGGTAAACAGAAAGGAGATAATCACGCTGATTAAAACAGTTGAAATACGCACCCTTGTGAAAATAGCCCAAGCTCTCTGCCAAATGTGAAATTCCCAGAGAGATCTGGACTCGGAAAACAGCTTCTGCAAAGCTGTTAAATTCTGCTGAGTGCCCTCACCTCGGTGCCAGCGTACTGGTATTTGGAGGGCTTTTGAGGCGAGCAAATAAAGGTACAATCCAAATGTGCAATTGAAGACAGCAGATAAATTCAGATGTAAAATAAGCCATGTGTTCTTTACTGTACTCATTTCCTTTTTGCATCATTCCTGGCTCTTTTTGGCTGGTGTCTGTGCTGTGTCCTCATCCCGGGGGTGTCCTTTTCATTTTTCCCCAGGAGCATGAGGCAAGGCAGATGAGATAAAGCCTGTCTGAGGCAGAAGCTGTAGCCATGTGCCTTGTGATTCTGCAAATGAGTGCTATCTCCTAATGAGTTGTTAGCTGTATCTTTCTTTTTGTTCTTGGTGTAAAGCTTTTATTGATTAAGTATTTCTTTCTGCTCTGCAGCCGTCAGATGGTTAAAATAGAAGACAACCCCCTACAATTTCATAGGCTGCTCAGTTTTGAAATGCTGAGTACTATTTGTACCTTTTCTTTAAGCAAGACATTATCCTTGAGTTACACCTGCTGCTCTTTTTCAAAGGCCTGGAGTAGACCATTGTGCCTATCAAAAAATACTCTTTTGCAGAATAACTCCCTAAAGAATTCCCCTTCTGTGGGAAAGAAGGACTCTATGGCAAGCTGACATTTTATTAATTTATTTGATTAGGATGAACAAGGATTTAATCTGAACCCAAGGGCAATGCTGTTGAAGAGATCCTAATCGCTTTCATCTATCCTTTCAACAGCTACAGCTGTGGGTAGGAAAAAGCAGTGCTGTTATAAATGCACTTCCTTTTTATCTCAGGGTCCAAGCAGCACAATGTTAGTGGTGTTTTCACCCTCCTTGAGCTGAGCCCTAAATTTTATATCTGCTGTGGCTTCTGTGTGATTCTCTTTAGAGGTATTTTTGCATATTAGCCATGAAACTCATGGTATCTAAATATATGTTGCTTGGTTATAGCTTAGTGGGCATCTTTTGTGTATGGAGTGAGAGAAATGCTGATGTTTTTTGGTGTCTGAACTACTTTTCCCATCCATCTATCAGCTAAATAAAACCTTTATCCTGCTGAAACATCTCAGAAGATCAGGCCCTTTGATGGTCTTCTCTTAGCTTAGTAAGTCAACAGAGTAAACTCTTCTTGACCTGACCAGTGGTGTTAACATCAGGATGTGCTGGCCCCACTGCATTCAGGTGTAAGGCAGCAGATCTCTTCCCAGGAATTCCAGTTTGTGCATTGTCAGATGTCCCAGTATTTTTTGTAACGCATCTCCAGAAGAAAGTCAAGCAACCTGATTAGCATTTGTAAGGAATGAGGGGCAGTGGGTGATTACTGCATCTTGAAAGTCCAAGTAATAATCGAAGATGTGCCTTTTTGAAAAAAGTAAAGCCCCAGGGCCTCCCATCCTGTAGAAAATGATTCTGCATTCTCTTGACCTGTTTTCTAACGCTCCCAGAAGGTAGCGAGCAAGACTGAAAATGTCTTTAGTTAGCATCCACTGAGGCATATTTCCAATTTCCAGTTTGGAGGGGCTTCCCTCAGGAGGGCTGTGCTGCAGTACACCAGAAGTAATAAAGTAACAGAAGAAGGATTTCTGCCAGCTTCTGGGCAAATAAATAATCTCAGGCCATTGTAATCATATCAGCCTGCAGAAAATCCCTTGAACAAGAAAAAGAGCTCAGGTTAGTTCCCTGATGGTGGCTGTGATTCTTCATAGAATCACAGAGCCATTTAGGTTGGAAAAGACTTTTAAGATCATAGAGTCCAACTTTAAACCTAACACTACCAAGCCCACCACTAAACCATGTCTCCAAGTTCCACATAGACACGTGAATGTATTGTCCATGTAGACTTCCTGTGCTTTCCCCTGCAAAACCCTGTCATTAGGGGTGTCGGTACTGGTAAAGAGTGGAGGGCTGGCAGTGCCTGCTTTTCAATTTCTGCCCTTGTTGGTGGGGAAAAATTTAAGGACACGGTTTTTCTAACCATAAAGAATCTGTTGCTTAATACCAGGGGAGTGTGCAACACCAAAAAAGAATGCCACAGCATGTTTGATGCATCTGCAGTTACGCTGAGTCACTCAGTTTTAGTTTTGTTTAGAAAAGAGCTTCACACCGGAGAAGTTTGTTGGAGGGACTTTGCCGTGTGTGTCAAGTGGCTAATTACAAATCTCTTATTTATTATAATTTTTTACAGGCCAAACACAATCCTTAGGCTTCGATTCAATCATTTTGCCACGGAGTGCAGTTGGGACCACTTGTATGTGTATGACGGAGATTCAATTTACGCTCCCTTACTGGCAGCTTTTAGGTAAGTTCCCCTTGGTAAGAATCTGACTGTAAACAATCATATTTCTTTAACTTGGAGCCTGAGTCAAATGTGGCTTCTAGCAGTATAGATATGTTCCAGTAATCTAAATATATAATGCTGCAAATACAGCACATAAAGCAAGTGTCCTTTTGTGCAGTCATCGTCAGCATAAACAATTAAGGAGTTGTTTTTGCTTTTACAATGAACAAATCACGTTACTACACTGTAGCGTGTAAGTATTATGTTTTCATTTCCAAATCCTGATTATTTGAGAGACAAAAAATTATTGTTATCTGGTTGAGCTTGAGATGATTCAGCGTGCGGGCTCCTTCTGAAGTTGAAAACTACCCCATTTATCAAGTTTGAACATGACTTAAGTTTGACTCATAGTATGTCAATGCTGACAGAAGGCAAAAGCCAATTAATCAACCTTGCAGACATATATAGGTCTCGTAGAACTGTGTATATCCTAATGTACCTTAAACTTTAATTTTTTTAACTCTTCAGAACATGTTCAGAAACAACAATGATGGGTCAGACAACCTTGTAAAAATATGTAAAAAGATCTGTTCTTCTGACGAGTGACTGTTATTTGGCTCATCTGTCTGTGGTGAGAGACCAATTTGTGTTTGCTGGTTACTTGTCGACATTTCACGAAGAAACCTAAATATAACTTGTGCATTTATATACTTTAGTCTTGCAGTGACAAACACCACCTTATGTTTTCTATTCTCTTAGCTGAAATTAGAAAAAGAATCCCAAATTGTGTATGGAAAAAAATAATGGTTCCCTTTGGACTCTGCTTGTTCCAAGTGGGTGATTAACTATTTCCAGAATTAACCTTCTGCTGTGCTTCCTTTCATTTATGAGCTGAAGTTCTAAAAATACTTTATGTTAATTCTAAAAAATTCTTGTAATCTCTATGAGAGAAGATCAGCATAGGAACAAAAAGTTGACTAAAAAGCATTAAGAACAGTATATGTTTTTTTGGGTCTTCAACTGAAAATGCAGAGTTGTTTTGTAGTGAAAGAATGCTTCCTGTAAACCTTCAGACTACCCTGAGGTCAAAATGGGATGCACGAGTGAATTGGTATTTTATTCTTGGCCCCTCTGAAGAAGAAAAAACCTTCTCTCTTCTAAAACCGCTCCCTAAAAAAACCTGGAAGCGCTCATCTGGTATCATGCACTGAATTGATATGCAGGAAAAGGAAGAAATGTCATCTTTACTCAGTCATTTTGTTCTAATCGAGCTATTTTTTAACACGCTGTTGAAAAGGTGAAATGATCATGATTTGTGCCTGCGGTTTCTTGTGTGTTTCCCCAAAATTAATAGGCTTTTAAAATTGAGGTTATAAGTAGTTCACAGCATTAACAATTATGGTTCAGGCTTTAAAATCATCTGTAAATCACTAGGAAGTCTGCGCCTGAGGACAAGCAAGTGTGAGCTTAATACAATAACATTTTTGAGGTAGGAAAAAAAATTCAATTATTTTTTAAATTGCTTCTTTAGATGACATTTGAATTTCATCTTCATTAGTAGTGAGCTGTGTTGTTCAGTAAACCAAGTTGAGGAAATAGCAGATGCTTATAATTTTGATGAAGTACAGAAAAGCATCTGTTGAAAAATACCTTTTACTGGTACAAATATAAAGTGCAGTAGAATTTTTCAAGAGCAGTGTTCGTATTTTATCTCTCTTGGCTTATGTTCCATTTTAATGTTAACTGTAACCATATTTCACTGTTAACTATTTTTGCACCGTTTCAGGGGATTTGCAAGATCAAGCTTTGTAGGGCCGGACACTGTAAACTTTCAGAGTTTGTTGACAAACATTGTAAATTCCTCCCTCTCTACAGCTCTGTTGTTGTTACCTCCCTGTCTTTTTACAGCAGTTGGCTCAGCCCTCACTTCTTCACTGCTCTTATCTTATTTTTCTTGACCTGCTGCTGCTCGCTTATATTTGTTCACAATATGCTATTTACACTGAATATAAAACGATCCTGGAAATCCTCAGTACTGGACTATGGAGAAACTACAAATTGGTTTTAAATCAACTTTTAACTGTGATAAATATTTGCATAATTTACACAGTGCAAGTGTCTGCATAAACTGTTCACTAAACTCCTTATAGCCTGAGTGCCCCCAGGGCAGCCCGGTCCTGTACATTAAGCTTTTTTTTTTTTATTTCTATTAAGCAGGGTTAAAAATATCTTTGCTGGTTTATATTTGTGATCATAGACAACGTGAGACACTGTAAATCTTCTGCTTCAAACATGCAATAAAAGAACATGGAGGAAACAGAAATCCGGCGTGTTCGTCTGCACAGAGTGCAGAAATCTGAAGCAGATATAAACCACACTCATCAGCTGTGAACTTTGTTGGCTGTGTTTTCACCTTTACTCCGTGTTAAACATTTACTGGAGCTGCTTTTGCACCTTTGTGTTTTCGTTTTGCGCTGGTCATTGTAGGGGGGGGGCACGTTTTCCTCTTCAAAGACAGTCGTTCTTTTTCAAGACCTTTGGCCGTGTCTCTGCACTTGGCGCTGGGGGGTGAGACCACTCAGAAGCACCTCGTGGCTGCTGTCAGGTGCCAGATGAATGGTGGTGGTGGTGGTGGCAGCGCTGACTGATGGCAGGGGCTGCCCCACGGTCACTTGCCAAGCTGGCTGCTCTGCTGTGCCTCTGTGTTTGAGCTCCTGTACCCTCAGAGGACAGGAGCAGCTCACCTTCCTCTTGTTACCTGCAGGTAATGAGTTTGAGTCTAGGCACACATCATGGAGTGAGTTGGGGTGGAAGGGACCCTGGTCTGACCCCTCTCTCAAAGCAAGGCCAGCTACAGAGCGGGATCAGGCCCTTGCTCCAGACCTTGCCCAGTCAAGATGTGAATTTCTCCTAAGGATGGACATCTCATTGATCCTCTAGATCAGTGGTCCAATGCTTGGCCACCCCATGTTTTAAAAAAAAAAATAAATAATTAAAATAATCTTATAATGATATCTAATATCTAATCAGAATGTCCTTTGCTGCAAGCTGTGTCTGTTGCCTCATGCCCTTTTTCTTCGAGCCTCTGGTGCAATCTCCTCTGTAATCTCTCCTTAGGTAGTTGAAGGCAACAATTAGATTTAACCCTGTCTTCAGCTGTCTCACCTCCAGGCTAAGCAAACCTTATTCTATCTGCTTCTCCTCATACATCGTATGGTTGTCCCTCTTCTATTTTTTTTCGTTCTATTCCCTCAATTCTTTGCCAGAAATTGTATGCTGCCATGGGCACATGCAAAGGCTCTCTCTTTCTTCTGCTTTGTCCTCAGTGCCCTTCCTGAACTGACCCACAAACCCTGCTTACCCCTCACCATCGACTGGTCTTACATTGCTTAGAGCAAGTGATCAGCTGGTAACAGCAGGGGGGTTGCTAACGAGGATTAATTACAGTGGGAAAGGCACAAAGCATGTTGAGTCGGTACTAGTTGTGTTAGGAGAATATCCAGAGGAGCTAATCAACTTAGGGCTGATCTTTTATAGACATATAGGAAGAAGTGGTCCTTGCCTCTGGCACATACAGGCCGAGAACGAACTGCCTGTTCACTGTGGGTGTACGTGCTCTGTGTAAACATTGCCCAGAGAGGTGGTAGATGCCCCATCCCTGGGAACATTCAAGGTCAGGTTGGACAGGGCTCTGAGCAACCTGACTTAGCTGAAGATGTCCCTGCTAATTGTAGGGGGGTTGGACTGGATGACATTGGAAAGTCCCTTCCAACCCAAACTATTCTATGGTTCTATGAAAGAAGACAAATGGACTGTTTAATGCTTATGTTTTATTGCTCTATTTGCTTCAAAGCACGCACTGGATGTGACCTTTGCTCATGTGTGGAGCCGAGTTTTTGCCTATCGGTGTTCTCGCCCTCCTCTGATGAAGCTGGCACTCAGCACATAATCAACCATCACTTCCCAAATCGGGTTTTATTCTGCGTCCTGAGATAGGGGATAGGTGGTACTTTATATTACGACCCTGTGCTGGACTGTGTTGTGATACGGTCATCATGCACACACTGCGCTCGTGGAGCAGTCCAGCTGACTTTTTGTTCTAGCAGGCTGTTGTCTAACTATTTATTATTTTGCTCTATGTGTTTTCTTTGGATCCGGGATAACTTCTAGAGCATTGATTTAAAAAAGAAATCAGTGTAACGTGAGGAGCAAATGTATTTGTGATTTTGCTAGAAATGTACCTGCTGAATGATGTTCCCTTGTTTACATATACTCGTGAGCCTGTCAGGGAGCCCACTGGTTCTTTGAATGCATGAGAATTGATTAATCAAAATGTCTTTGTGGTGGAAAGTCAGATTTCTTAGAGAAATGTAAATGCATTGTATTAAAATTGCTTTTGTTCACTAAACCTGTAATCCCCTCCAAAAACATCAAATCAATTTGACAAGATGGACAAAGAGAGTTTCTCTTTTAGAGTTTTGAAAGGATAAATCTTCCGAGTTAAATCGAGGCCTGTAAAGGAAGTGCAGAGCAGAAAGTTTCTTTAGTTCTTCACTTTCTCAGTTTTTTTTGCTTAAACTGTTTCTGATGGACTGAAGAATAAGATTTTCTTTTTTTTTTTTTTTTTTTCATTAATTCAAATATCCTGTACTGTGCTTCACAGGTAACAGGTAACAGACTTTAGGTTTTAAAAAATGAAAAGATATTTGCGCCATCGCCAGTAGCACGATTTGTCTCTCCAAGACTAGGTACTAAAATAATTTTTAAATTTTTAAAGTATTTCTTCACTGTAATGGCAAAATAGGTGTTATTTCTTTTGAGGCTTTTTAGTCCGTGTTCTCTTGAAATACGGCTTTTACAGTCATACGCACCATGTGACATAATCATTAAAAATTACTGAATGGCTCATGAGACACATCTTGGTATGTTTATGGCTTGTCCGTGTTCTGCTGGCTCTGAAAGGAAGAACATCATGTTAAGAACTGAAGAGATTTTTGGGGCAAGCCCCCCCGATCCCAAGGGCTGTGGGGGTGGACAGGCTGGCCCTGTGCTGCTGCTGCAGCAGCTGGGTCTGTCTGTCGTGTGACAGGGGAAGATGGATTCAAGAAAAATTGTACTGCGAGGTGTTGCCAGCTCTCAATAATGAGTCTTTATTTTTATAAGTGTCATTGTAATTGCTTTGCTTCCTTAAAAGTCTGTGTTTGGGAGTCATCTTTCTGCACAAGAATCTGAGCTTTTCCTTTAAGAAAATCAATTTGAAATGTCTCCTTATTTCCATCCCCCTCCTTTTTTTAGCATTGATTTATTATTAGTCTCTTGTAATTTCTATTTTCGGTTTGTTTATTTTTTTGTTTACTTTTGGGATTATGGTGATGCGCAGGGACTGGTTTTTAATAAGGAAGAAACGGTATTGTTTTGCACACATGTGTCTCCAGATGGGTCAAAGTATAAAAATTAAGATAAGATAATGGTTTCTCATTGCATTTCAATAGATTGAGAAGCCACTGTACTACCAATGTTCTGGTATCACCTTTATCCTTCCTGTTCTCTGTGATCCATACTCTGTATCGTCTCCCTCTCCTTTCCTGGTTCCCATCTTCTTCCTTTTTGACTGTTTTCTGCTCAGTAGAGCTTCTTACATTTTTGGTCTCTGCCAGGCTGGCAGGTTGTGTGTCAGGAGAAAATGGTGAGATGCTGACACAGGAAATCAAGGAAAAGTGATAGAAGAGATGACCTTTGTTTTAAATAATTCCTGTTTTTCTCTGGTGTAGGGGAGAGAGTGAGGCAGGCAGTGTGTGCAGGGTGAGAGAGAAGTCAGGGCTCCTGGATATTGTTTTTTACTCTGCCACTGGCTCTACAAAACCCAGCACACAGAAAAGAGAAGTTGTTTCAGGGCAAAGCAGGGGTTTGCCTTTCAATGCCTAAGAAATAGTGTCATTGGACAGCTGAGCTGATGAGTAGGAGTATTTATTTGCTTTGGAGTAGTGATGATTGCAAAATGTTTTGAAACCTTATAAAAAGAAATAGATGCGGTACATTGTGAAATAGACTAATCTTGGCCAGAGTTGAGTCTCTCAGAGATTCTGGATTGTAGATTAAAGGAAGTTTTGCATAATTCTTTATCATTCTGATTCTGCCTATTGGTGTTTTTTTTTTTCATGGCAGATAATGTAAATTCTGTTTGTGCTGGTTTATTCAAAATGATGCTGTTCACAAAGGAAGTTATTCACGGTTTTCGAGGTTCAACCTTTCTCAGACCTGATCATTATCATTGTGTTGTGTTTGTTTCATGGCTTTCTCTGAATGAAATTACAATCTATCTATGAAGTTTCATCAGGCTTTTTTAAACTTGTATAGGAGGATGTTTTAAACATCCCTCACTAGTACATTTACATATGAGTCATCAGAAAAAGATGGAAAGAGAGGAGCATGTTTGAGATGAGATGAGAGCCTCTGCTACAGAGGTACCTGCATTCTTCCCAAACAAATCCCAAAATCGAGATTTCTAAGAGAAAACAAATAATTTTCCTGTGCTAGTCTTTTTGTTAGGAAAGGTTATTGGGGGAGATTTTTGTCTTCTTTCACTCCCACTATTCACTCTGTACTTTTATTCTTCACTGCTGTTATTCTCCCCTCACCGGGGCCTTTCAGTTACATTGCCCTTTAATATCAGTGGTAAGTGCTGCAAGAATAAGACCGAAGAGGAATAAACCAGAACAAAGAAGTTTTCTCTAGTCCCTAAGCTGTAGTTTGCCTTCCCCTGAATTATATTCAGGTATCTGTTTTCCTGTAGTGGAAACGTGCTATCCTACAGTTTGCATTACAAAGGAAAACTATGAACCAAATAGCAAGTTTATTAGACTTTTTGTTCTTTGATGTTTCCAGAGACAGTCTTTTGGGAGAGATCATCTTCGGATCGGAAATCTCAAATTTTAGAATGAAACAGGCACTTCTTACACATGGAGAAAAAGCAGTGAAATTTTCCTTTTAATCCCATATCCTTGAGATCTGAGAGAGGAAAAAATAATTGGCTTTCTCATGAGGAAATACTTATTGAGCTACATATCAGCAAATGTGCTGGATGAAATGTGGAGTTGTGTAGCCAAAACATGGGATCAGGTTACTGTGTTTTTATGGCATGTTGGTAAAATGAAAGATATCTTTTTGTTCTGGGTAAGACTTGCTGTGCAGGAAGGGCTGTTGTGCAGTTTGCAGATTTACCCCGCCGTAGGTAACACATTCGTCTGTTACTCTTGGTGCAAACACCCCAAAATCTATAGCACAAGCTTTTGGAATGGATCCCTGGGTGTCTGTGTTATTCCTTGAGCACACCATTGCATTGTATTGTGGGGACAGAGAAATTCAGGTCACAAAAAAGTGCTTTCCAGGCAACGTGAATGGGCTGCTGTGGATAGCTGTGAGTGTTTTCCTGGGGAACTGGCTTCAAATGCATTTGCTTTCTGTTCTGAATAGGTCTGAAAAGAGGAAAAGTAAGCTCCTTTCAGGGGGAAGAGTTCTTTTTGTCGTTGCTTTTTAGTTGGTGGTGCCCTCAGACATTGGGAAGTCGCAGGGCACGAAACCAGGCTGGGCTGCTTTCCCGGGAGAGCTGGGGGGCTCCGTGGCTGCTGGCACCCCCGGAGCTGCCTCCGCTTCCCGGCCCACGGGGAACCCCCCGCTCCGGAGGCTCCGCTTCGCAGAAGGCTTCCACTTCGCCTTTGCAAATAGGGCTGAGGCTGGGGGAAAGATAGTTCTCTAGGAGAAAAATAACAGCTGACTGTGAATAGGAGGTGGTAGACAATGGGCTTTGCTTAGATAAAGGATTTTTAAAAGATAAATTCAATAGACTTCAAATTTATGCCTGCTCTTATGTCTTTTGTATGAGGGAGGAATTGACTTCTTTGTTTTCTTGTTGTCAGGCTTCTGTTAAAAGAAGAATAAGCATTTCCTTTCAGATAGAAACTATTTTGTGCAGTAGGTAAAGAGGTAGTAGTTACTCTTTTCAAGAGACATTCAGTCTCCTTTTCAGCGTACTCCAAATGTTTTGGCAAACCATTATATAAATCTGTACTGTGTCCAATGTGTCCAATCTTAAATACTGTAAATAGTCTTGCCTGTCATCCGCCCTTCTCTTCACCACCCCTGGAAAACTAAGAAGCTGGAGGATGTGGAAGGCTGTAGAGAAACAGCCAGAGGGGACCAGAAGTGTGAAGCAGTGAATGAGGTGGGAATCACGGAATCACAGAATCTTCTAGGTTGGAAGGGACCTTAAAGATCATCTTGTCCAACCATCAACCTAATTTTGACAGAAATAAACACCCGCACAACAGACAAAAAGCAACACCATCACTAAACCATACCTCCCAGCACTACATCAGCCCGTCTTTTGAACACCTCCAGGGATGGTGCTTCAACCACCTCCCTGGGCAGCCCATTCCAATGTCTGATAACCCTTTTGGTGAAAAAATTTTTCCTAATATCCAGCCTGAACCTCCCCTGGCGTAACTTGAGGCCATTTCCTCTCGTCCTGTCGCCTGTGACTTGGGAGAAGAGACTGACCCCCATCTCCCTACACCCTCCTTTCAGGTAGTTGTAGAGAGCAATAAGGTCTCCCCTCAGCCTCCTCTTCTCCAGGATGAATAACCCCAGCTCCCTCAGCCTCTCCTCATAAGACTTGTGCTCCAGACTCCTCACCATCTTTGTTGCCCTTCTCTGGACCCGCTCCAGTGGAAGAAGGGAAGAATTAACTGAATAGCGAGCACAATGATCTTTTAGCCCAGAAAAGGCAACAAATGTGGATGTGATAAGTCAGATGGAACTTTATGAAAGAGTGAATGTCAGGAGGAGGGTGAGTGAAGGGTGATTGTACTTCTAGAGGAGGAGCTCAAGAGGCAGCAGTGGAGGATCAGGCAGCAAATGTAAAGTGAGCCCTAAGAAGTGCTTTCTCTGCCCCTGCAGAGTTAAATTGTCGACCTCCCTGCTGCAGGTTTTCCACACGAGAAGGGTAAAAATGGTTGAGAAAGGAGTTAGATAGAAGCATGGGTGAATGGTTTATTTAAATGTGCTGACTTGGGTACAGTCTCCAGGTCAAAGCACCTGAAGTGTGGGTTTCTGGAAGCCGGATAACGTGTCGCCAACATGCTCTGTACTTGCTTTATTTGTCACAGTCCCAAATATTTGCTGTAGTCCATAGTCAGGAGGAGATACTGGGCTTGGCAGACCTTTAGATTGGCTTGGCACAGCAGGTTTTATGCTCCTGGAACACAGTGATTTCTGTTTTCAAACATGCCACCTTATGGTAGGAATGGGTCCTGTTTAAATCATGGCAGAGTAATAAGGGAGGGTAAAGTAGATTTATGGTAAGAATAACTGGAACTGTAGACAGCTTCAGGTTTACTCAGGTTAAACACCTTTAATATACATGTATCTTTCAGAAGAACCAAGCTTATTACTTCAGGGTTTTCTATTTGCTTTCCTTTGTGCAGCCATTCCTCTTGTAGGCTGAAGTCGCGCACGTTGAGGGCAGCAGTAATGCCACGCTTGATGGCCTTGATATCCTAATTTGTGTGCACTCCTTGGTCGGTAACAGGGTGACTGTATTGCAGATAAGTAAGCCAGGCAAGACAGCTTACTAAGGTATTCCCTGAAGAATGTAGTTTTACCTTTGTGAGGGGGTCTTGAGGGTTCTTATGCCTTTGAGAATGGGGTTGTCCTGAGGGTTGGCTGAGTACGCATACTCACAATGTCCAGATGTTTTCTTTTGACTATTTAAGGAGTTTTGTTGAAGAAAAACAATCTATTAACAATGCTCTATGAAAATGATGATTACTTTATGCAAATTCATTATAGTTCCAATAAGTGCAAATAATTACCTTGTTTCGATTTTTTTATTAATACCGATGCATTTATTCTTGTGCTTTGCTCTCTTTTATTTAACTTCTAACGTTGTTTTGTTTTTTTTCTTTTCCAGTGGTCTTATTGTTCCTGAGAAAGATAGCAATGAAACGGTACCAGAAGTTGTAGCTACTTCTGGATATGCTCTTCTTCATTTCTTCAGTGATGCTGCCTATAATTTAACAGGATTTAACATCACGTATAAGTAAGTAGTACTACTTCAAAGTGGTGTTGCAAGTTGAGCAAAAGGAGGTTTCCTCTTTTCTCAGTTTTGTCTTGAAATAAGCAATTGCCGTTGAAGCATGTAATTATGAGTAGATACTTGAATTTAGATTTTTATCTTTATTATACCCTTGCAACAGCTAATAACTGTAATGTGCTCAGCATTTACTTCAGTTGTCAGTTGTAAGCGTGGGCAAATGTTTGCTCAGAAAGACATCATGTTATTTATTTTATTAGATTTATTTGATCATATTCAGTCAGTCAGAATTGGTGTGTTTTGTGCATGTGTGTGCTCTTATGCATTCTTCAGAGATACTTCTGCACAAACATTCTTTTGCATAAGAACACACATTTCATTTGGGACACTGAACTGTTACTACTGTTGAGGATTCTCAAGCAGTTTTCTTTGGGATGCTCTTTCTTACTAAGTCCTTGGATTGAATTGCTTAATCTGGCTCCTTCTTAGTTTGGAATGGTTTTGTTATGTTATGTGGTTCCTATTTTAAATATTATAGGCGGGTGCTTTCTGTTCACTACTATATAATTAGTTGTCATTGATAATATTTTTAAAAATGATTCCAGGGTACTCCCTAATTCATTGGCTGCTTTTAGAAAGATACTGATGTAACTGATCTCAGTGTGGCCATACTAGAGAAGACAGAATTTCTTGCTTAGGCCGAGGATCATGGGGTTTGAATTTTTTGCTCCTACAGATATAAATTGTGTTTGTGCTGCACTGTGAGATTTTAATTTGGGTATAACTTGCAGAAGTTCTCACCTCTGTCTCAAAAAACTGGGCTGCAAAATCTTTGGTCAGAACTGACTTTTTTTGCAAAACTGAAAGTTTTCCTTAAAATGATGGGCTTAATTTTTGAATGCTAGTCTTGGTGCTTTCATCCTTATTCAGCACTTAGTGGACACACAGTGGACTCTCTGAAAAATTCAGCACCCCTTGAAAGCTCCAGAAGACAATGAGAAGCCTTTGTGCAGTGACTTTAAGCATAGCGGCTGAAGTAGGAGCGTTTTGAGTCTGGCTGGTACCATAAACCATGCCACCATCTACCGCCAGCTGTCGGTATTGCAACATGGCAATACAACAAAGTCATTCTCTTAAAGAATAACCTGCCTTTTTCAAGTTCCTTTAAGTTGTTCTGGTATTTCTTTAAGGCTTCACATTATTGATAATTTCAAACAATTTTCAAGTACTTTTTTGTGTTTCTTCAGTGTGTTCTGATTGTTAGGTGTCTTCCTAACCTTTTTTGGAGAGTAGATAAAAGCATGTATTTATTATTATCAGTTTAACAGTCTTTGTAGTTACTACTGGAGATAGGTATCTGACCAATAGTTATGAAATTATGGTCTTGGAGTCGGTGACTACACCTGTCGCATGAGAGCGAGAGTATTGGGTACTAATCCCAATCTGTGAGTTACACTTGTTGATAGACTGGTAAAAAACTGGAATTTGAAAAAGAATAGGGTCTCTGAATTTGGATCTTCAACAAGGATGTATCTGGTTTTGCCTCAGCTACGCTGCAGATATTATAAAATCAGAAATGATTCAAAACAGGCACATCTTTGACTTGGGATTCATCTCAAATGTATTCTTTTGGTAAGCAGATCCCAGAATAGCACATAATTGTGAGTAGTTTAAGTATAAATTGCATAGACACCACAAAAGCCTTAAGTGCTGATTAAATTCTTCACTTACTGTTGGGTGTTTCAAGGCAATTCATTTGCATTATAAATGGCTAAAAAAATCATATTGATAATTTTTGAAAGGAGTTGTAAGTTTAACTCATTAATTGAGGCAGCTCTGTAGATGATAGAGAACAAATCTATAGGTCTGTCACATCAGGTTCTAAATGAGCTGCTCTTGTTGGTTTGTATGTTAAACAGCTGAACTGCTGTATTAACTTTTGATCAGTATCACTCTCTTATTTGTTAATAAGTGGTACGGCTTGGGGAATCTGTTTCATTACTGACAAACCTTCTTTCCCTGATGTTTGCAGTTTCAATATGTGTCCCAATAATTGCTCCGGCCGAGGAGAGTGCAAGCTCAATAACAGCAGCAATGCTCTGGAATGTGAATGTGCCAAATACTGGAAGGGAGAAGCTTGTGATATTCCCTACTGCACAGAAGACTGTGGGGCACCTGAGAGAGGGCATTGCAACTTTAATGATACTAAGGCGTGTTTGTGCTCTGCAGACTGGCAAGGTAAGTCTCCTGATTAATATGGAGAAGCTCTTTTAAGAGGTTGCCTTTTCTATGTGTGGCTCTTGCAGTTTTATTGGGAGTATTTGAGAATGTTCTGCCTGCCAAGTATTAGCATTTTGACTAGGAACAAAGTATCTGATGCTTCCCAAAAGATCATACATCTTTGGTAAAAAATTATTTTTAAAGCAACTATGCTACCATAAAAACAGCTTGTTGTGTGCAAGCATCAGATAAAAAATTTTAAATCTCATTAGTGTGCACCTAAAGAGAAGTTAAGCCTAGTGTCAGTAGTTAACTGTTTGAACACAGAAGATGCCTTGTTCTCATGTCCAGCGGTGCTGGTCAGCCGTGTCAGCCTTAGGAACGGTTTGGAGCAAACATACATTTTTCCTCTGCAAAGATATAACATGCAAGTGTTAGTCTCATATGAGATGCAACCAGCCCACAGCATTGGCAGCATCTGCTACTACTACGCAGCTACACTGCGAAAACAGAGAGTGTGTTAGCCACTGTGGAAAGAATCCAGGTTAGAAAAAGGAGCACCCTAAGGAGAAAGTGGTAACCTCAGTACAGAGTGCATCTGCCTTTCAGGTATAAAGCCAGCCACAGGTAATATACTTCAGGGCTTGCACTCACCCGGACACCACATCTCCTTAGGCAGTGCAGTGCCTGCTGATGCGTTTATGGAGTCTGGTTGTGCAATGACACACATTGTGTGTGGACTTCTGTTTGCTCAATTTTTAGCCTGTCCCTCTTTTTCCCATTCTTTCATTTCTGTCGCAGGTTAGTGTGTAAAGATTCTGTGACTCTATGTGTCTATGGGGAGGGGAAGTAAAAAGAAGAACCCCCCCAAACCAAACAGTAGCAGAATGTGATGCAACCTGCTCCCTGGTCCTATTCTGAAACTTTTTTACATCTGGACATGGTCACTCTACCTCAGAAGGCAGGAGTTTTTCAAGGGTGATAAACCAGATTCCAGTCTGCTTTCCTAAGATTGCTGCTGGTAGAAACTCTGCAAAAACAAGCATGTGCTATCTCTTACAGTCAAGACCATAACTCTGGTACACAGTGATTCACTTCTGTGACTGTCTAAAGGTTGTCCTGATAAATCTGTTCCCTTTCCAAGGCCTCAGCAGGTTCTCTGTCGTCTGTAGTAACCCTGTGCATGTGGATGGGTGTCACTGAGAAGGAACAGCACCCATACAGCTTTGTCCTTCACTTCCTACTTGCTGCTCCTCTTCTGCATGCCATGGGGAACTGTGAAGGGAAGCTTGACAGTGAAAAAGTTGGTTTAAGAGAAGCAGAAATACAGGGGAAAAAAGAGAAGTGAACAATTCACAAAAATGTATTGCTGAGAAAGAGAGGAATGAAAAGAGGGAAAGATAGCCCTAAAACCCATGGAATTTTATAGTATACTGCTAAGCAAGTCTCCTGAAGCTTTTGCAGGTTGTGTTGGGGCTTCTAGGGGTGCTTGGTAGCCAGGTAAGTTGCTGTAAAATACGCTCCTAGTATGGAGTGGGAAGGGGTCTGTGCTGTGCCCGCCTGCAGTCACTGCAGGGGAGAACAGACCAAAGTGTCTGCTGTGTTGCATCACTGATTCATGTAGTCTGGAACTGCTTTTCAGTTGTGAAAATAATTTTAAATTTGAAGTATATGGTTATGGTTGAGAGATCATACCCCAGGTCCATCACAGATTGCTGGTGTGAGGAAAGAAATGAGGATCGCAGCTTTCACCTGTTTCCTGGCTTTACACTGTCTTTGTCACCTGTGGTGCAGGATATTGACCTCTAGCTGAAATACAGACTTTGGAAAAAATAAATGTAATTTTTAAACCTTGTTTTTCTAGGTCCTGGCTGTTCAATTCCTGTTCCTGCAAACCGGTCGTTTTGGACCCGGGAGGAATACTCTCTTCCGAAACTTCCTAGAGCATCTCACAAAACTGTAATCCATGACAATAAAATGTGGATTGTTGGAGGCTATGTCTTCAATCATTCTGACTCTCAGAAGGTTTTAGCGTGAGTATAAAACTAGATAATAAAGTCTAAGTAGAAGAGCTTGGATTTGAGAATTATTTTTAGAAAATGCCATCCGACATGCTGTGCCTACACTCCATCTCCAGGGGAAAACAGCAGTAATAGAAACTTAGAGTCACGTTTGACATCTGGGAAAACACTGCTAAGGGGTGCTAATTTTGGAAAAGAACAAGTGTAAGGTTCCTGATGTTCAGTGAAGTTTTGATTTATCTGCTTCTGACAGCATTCAACAATTCATTGCATATTTCTAAACTAGCTTCTAAGTTATATCTGTCCTCGTATTCAAAGAGGGTAGTTTTGCTTCAGTGTTATTGGCCCTTCCTTATATTATATGTGTGTGACTTCAGAGTGTTTGGCTCCTTAATTAATGCATACTGATTACTGTGCATGTTTATGGATAGTGGATGGGATACCAAATAGGGTATGGCATTTAGGATGATGACATTTATGCAATTAGATTTAACAGTAACTAAGATATCAAATAGTAATTGTGTACCTCATGGAAAACCCCCATATAAAACATTTCAGGCTTCCTCTCTTGTGAACTTAATATTATCTGGGCATATCTAGGCAGAAGCTGGATTTTTTTCCCCGGGGATACCTCTGCACTGCTTTCATGGACCTAAGCGAGAGCTGTGTGTCCTGCACTCACATCCAGAAGTAATAATTCTTATAGGGGAAGTTAAAGAAGAGCTGAAAATGCACACTTAGTTGTAGAATAGTTGCTGATTACATCCACAATTTACTCTTTCAAAGTCATGGCTGATTTTTCAACAGATACCCTGTGGCTTCACTGAACACTTTCTCAGAGATGATTTTATTTTATAAGGCTGTAAGTCTGACGAGTTTAGTTCATTCTTTTATCTAAAAAGCCACAGGCCATTTTCAGGGCGGAGGGCTTATCTTGCTTCAAGTTCATAGAAAAAATACGCTTGAAAGACAAAGACATAATTAAAAAGTGCCTTTTAAACATTGGCAGGTTTTTTATCAAGTAGTTGGAACTTGTCTGAGCTTCGTGTAAACTTCTGCTCTTTTGGGTGGATCATGTGGTGAAAGTTGTCATAGCTTAATAGATAATGCATTACCTCTTGGTTTTGGGTGCGGAAAAAAAACTCAGGGTAAAGCAAATCAATACATGGACATTAAGTAACAAAGCAGGCTTGACTGAATTTTTTTTTTTGGCCTATAAGTAGCCTGTGAGGGCTTTGTGCATGCTGAAGTCTTGGTAGGACTTCTGTTAAATAAAACAATTTCCCACAAATCCTGGAAAGGACAAGCAATAATTTTATCAACTTTATTATCTACTTCTCAGGTAATTAATTCAATCTTTATTATACAGGTATGATCTTATTTCTGAAGAGTGGCTTCCATTGAACAACACTGTGAACTCCGTAGAGATGAGATACGGTCATTCATTGGCATTACATAAGGTAGGTTTAACATAGGTGCTGCAGACTCATCGTCCAAATGATTTCCCCCTTTTTTCCCCCTACACCCACTCCTTTCCACAGATCAGTCTTGCTCTGGGAGAAGCATTTCTCCTTCAAAGGCTTCTCCATGGGTATCCCAGTCTGTGTGCTTGTACTTCAGGGAGTCGTTGGACTGGTATCCTGGGAAGTTTGTAATGCCTTTGCTTGTGTGTTCCTTCTTTGCCCTTTTCATAGAGATTTTAAGGCCGACTGAGGTCAGTGAGTCCATTATTTCCTTCTTACTGTCTGTGCTTGCAAGACATGCCTGATGGCTAGAGTTTGCTGGACATCATCTGATTCCCCATTTCCCTTTTGTGTAAACCACATCAATATTTTTACCAGCTCCGTTGTCCAGGGCATCAAAGCAGAGCTGGTGAATTAGGAATTTTTGGGACCTGCTCTGCTTTTGCAGTAGACCTGTGAATCTGTTCTTCCAGAGTCTGAAATGACAAGTGGATTTGACTACTTCTTACCTCATTTCTCACCTGCGTGACTTGCCATGGGTGCAGGCCATCTGAGAGCAGAATGGCAAAGTCTGTGATAAGGAAATGAGCTAATCCTTTACTGACCTTTGAATGTTAATTAGCTCATCACAGTGCAAGCCTATATAAAGCATAATTATAAACACTTGAAAAAATCCGCACAGCACCATTCACAAACAGAACACTTGAAAAAACTGTTAGAAGGATGGTAATTTCTACCTGCGAGGGCTTGATGCTCGTTCTGCAAACAACTGTTCAAAAGTAGGGTCTGATAAGTGGGTTTAATGTCAGCGATGGGCAGTGGTTCTCAGGAATTTCCAAGAAGCACCAGGTATAGTAGAGAATTTCTCACCACCTTATTAGTAGGAAGACAGGACTCCACTACACGCTTTGGGCTCCTGACTGACTCAGGTTCCTGGAGAAACCCATGGAGGAAACTGGATAGAGTTCTGGAAATTAGCTGTTACAAGCTGATTTATAAAACCCTATCTAACTAACCTAGCTCCCTTCTCTGTGAAGGGTCCTCATTTTTTTTGTCAGTGCATTAACTTGGAAGACAAAGCTATTAGTGTACAGACACAGAGGAGTTTCCATCATAACTGCCTTTCTTACCAGCATTTTCTGCTGTTTGCACTTGCAAGCTGTGGGAGTGATTCAGCTTGGTTATTACAATATTACTATTAGGCACTTCAGGTGCCTAACTTTGGGCACCTCTGAGCTCCGTTTATAGTGAAAACAGACCTAGTCAGTACAGGTAGTGAAATCTGGAGAGCAAGTCAGCTCACTCAAAAGTAGGCTCACCATTCCTGCTTTTGATCAGCTGAATTGTTCTCCAGGCTCCACTGTCTTTTATAGTGGATGCTTAGACATTCAGCTAGTATACGGGCACCTAATTTTTGATGTTTGTCTTCTGAAGGTCAATCCTGCCCCACACACCCTTTCCCCTTTGTACCCTGATGTAGGGTCAATTATGTGTGTTGAAAGGTATTCACACATTATGAACTTGGGTACAAATCCTGGCAGTCATGGTTGCTTTCATATCAAATGCGACTGGTGAAGGAGATAGTTTTCTCCTCCTTGAGAGAGGAGAAAAACTTAGGCTGAGAGAAGATAAAGTATAATAACTTCATTACTTACATATTAGCTGTTTCCTAATTACCAAACTCCTTGGACTCATTTTAAATCTAATTTCTTTCAGGATAAAATATACATGTATGGTGGAAAAATAGATGCAACGGGGAACGTGACCAGCCAGCTGTGGGTGTTCCACATTCCCAGCCAGAACTGGACTCAAGTGACGCTGCAGGCCAAGGAGCAGTACGCTGTTGTTGGCCATTCAGCACACATTGTCACCCTGAAAGACAACAGCACGGTCATGCTCGTCATCTTTGGGCACTGCCCTCTTTACGGGTATATCAGCAATGTCCAGGAATACAACCTGGGTGAGTGGGGCCCTACTTACCCTTCACTTCAATTCTAATGGTTCGTTTGAAAATTGATTTAAATGATCCATATTCACATAAGAAAACAGTGACAGATGTGTTCTTCTCCTTCTATTTGTATTTATATGGAGTTCAATCTAGCTTCCAGTGTTTGTATAATATAGACAGCCAGCAGGCAGCCACATGCCTCCAGCTTTACACAGCTTGTTAGGTCCCAAAGACCAAAAAGCTGTAATTGAGGGCAAACTGGGATAACTGTGGGACGATTTAAATTAATTTTTCTCTCTCCCTCTGACATAGCAAGTATTTTTGAAATCAGTTTTTATATCCTGTGAATACAATAATAACTGTAACAATTCAGACCTGATACCCCTGTTTCCAGTAGTGGTGATTAGCAAATGCTTAGGGGAACAGGGAATGACTTTCTGGGCTTTTATTTGCCCAGTTATACTCTGGGAACAGTCCAGAGTATAACTTCAGAGATCTCCAGTATCATCAGTGGAGAAGTGTAGGAAGCTCTCCAGATGAACTGAACTTCTGCCTAACTTAGCTGCTCTGAAATGGCTCTCTGGAGGCATGTCTCTGGCTCCACTGACCGGGGTAGAGAACATGGATGAGCACAGAAGTTCTCAATGTGATGTGCTGGTTGTTGTCAGAAATAGTGGCCCTATCTGCACTTTTTGACCTGTTGTCCTTCAGTCATCCTCATCCAGAGGATCTACTGTAGCCTATTGTGGTTCACTGGTGTCCACATGAGCGAGATTTCTTCCTCTAGGTTAAAGCTAGAGAAAACCAGCATGTGTGCGCCAGTGGTTTGGGTGATTTAGTTTTCTGGTGTTTTTCTCCCACATGTGATCTTGCAGGCTATTCAGTTCTTTTGCCTTTTGTGTGCCTGATCTGCCCTGAAGTTAGGAAGCTTGTGTAGGGTTTCATTCTGCACTTCCTGCAGAGATTTGGTGTGTAATTTAGCAGTTTTTGTTTCAGTTGCCATTATATTATGTCTAAAGTGCTTCAAACCAATGTTATCTTAGTGAGTGAGATCCAGGACCATTAATCACATATTAGTTTTTAACTGCAGTGTTCTTCACAGTCATACTTGCCTTCATTGCTGTCTGTCTTTCATATACATATATATATTTATATAAAAAGTGCTCTCGGGTGCCATTCCAAATCAAGCCCCGATAATGGCATTTTCATGTCATTGAAATGCAGTATATTATTTCTGTACTTTTTATCTCTCATTTACTTAGCTTGTCTCAAAATGTAATAAATGACTGTAGAAGAGATGTTTCTGATCTAATTAAAAATACTTGACGATACTTCTTGACAATGAACTCCTTGAAGGAGAATATTTTTGGGTATGAAGTGATAGAGACAGTGTCTGGACCTGAGTCAAGGGAAACTCTATGTGTTTTACCACGAGATTTGTTGAGAAATTATTAATGGAGATAAATCAACCATGTTCTGTCACTCACATTTTTCATTTCTCAGGCACAAATACATGGAACATTTTACAGACGAGCGGAGCTTTGGTTCAAGGAGGGTACGGTCACAGTAGCGTTTATGATTCAAGCACAAGATCAATTTATATCCATGGAGGTTACAAAGCATTCAGTGCCAACAAATACAGGCTAGCAGATGACTTATACAAATATGAAGTTGATTCCCGTATGTGGTAAGTCGTTCTTCTTGCTGGATACCACCCTGTCGTTTTTGTTTGTAGTGTACAAGAGGATGGGGTATTTGATAAGGGTACATTAATACGCAGTTACCTGCAGTCAGGATAGATAGTGTGCTCTTGTGTCTGTTATTTTTATGTCCCTATGAATAGAGAATCATATAATAACATATAATCAAGACTGTAAACGAGCCAAGAAATCCATTCTAATCTATTGTATTAAAGCTGAAAAGAAAAATATTTGATGAGATTTTCTTGCCAGCAGTACAGACTGTGCATATGAGTGCAGTTACTGCAGTCAAGTGAGTGATAATTCATTCTGCAGTTAAGACCGCAAAAGAATTTCTATTATAACCCCATTTTCTTCTGGTTCTGTAACTGCTTGAAACATTAATTTCTTAAGCTGAAATCTTCTGTGATTTGTTTCTGCCCAAAGGTGGGTTCTATTTAAATGCCGTAGCAAAACTTCACAACTTTGAGCTCTAGAGGTAAAATAAATTTTCCTTAATTTTGTGTTTTTTCTTAAAGTTGTGGCTTGTGACAAAAAGGATACTATCTTTTGAATTAACACATGCAAATTTGAGTCACAATATCACCTTTTTTGAGACTTTAAAATAGCTTGTATTTGTGCAACAGCTGTTGGTGAGTCTGTACTGATGAGTGAATTAACTTGTGACTTATTTCCAAAAACCTTCCTTCCTGCTCCATTGTACATGCAGTCATAAACCATGCTTCCTTTCTTGGTTCATTTGATCCTCCACTTCAGCTGTGGAGTGGGAGAGTCTGGCTGAATAGGCAGAAAACGTCACAAATCTGACAATGTTCTTCCCAGCTGCTGCAGCACCAACTTCCTTTGGTCACACTTATTTTGTCAGTCTCGAGAGGGCTGTCAGAGCAGGCGAGCGGTCGCCTTCCAGCCGGATGAGTAGGAGTGTCTGCTCATCTTTAGATTGGTTTTTTTTTGTGTCATTGACTCCTTTTTTCATTTTTTGGTAACTGTCCTTCTTGTGATTTCTTGGAAGGGCCAAAAAGCATTCCCCTGATCTTTATCTTTTGGCAAACGTGTTTCTCCACGTGTTCCCTCTGGAGTTTTGACTGGCAGCTTCACAGTTGAACGCTGCTCCCCTAGCAGAGTGATGCTCAGAAAGCCCCCGTGTGCTGCGATGTGGCTGCTCCTGCCTTATGAACAGGTCCCTGGTCCAGGCTGTTGATGTACCATTTACTGGATATTTGGCTGTGAAAGCCTGGGCTTTGGTGCGAGCTGCCCTTGGGATGCTGCTGTTGTGCAGCACTGCTGCTGTGACAGCCTGCAGACAGCGACACACACTGCTGCCCCTGACACAGATGTGGCTTCCTCAGGGTTCTCCTGCGAGCCCACCCTCTCAAAACAGCAGGGAAAGTCTGCAAAGGGTGACCCTTTGTGCGCAGTGCTGTTAATCACGCTGATTAAAGGTGAGGTCAGTGGCAAGTATGATTAATGCGTCTCATGATTTAGTCACAGATGAGGTGTTGAGTTCTACAGGCATTAAGCTGTGGGGCTCTGTTACTGGAGGCTGCATAGATTTTCTTAAAATAGGTGTGTTAGTTTTGAGCAAGAGATGATGCCCAGCGTGAAATAATTCTTTAGGTTACTGTAAAATTAGAGTTACTGTAAAATACTGGAGTCCTTCCAGGCAGTGTCCATATCAGTGAGCTTATGCTCAAAAGCCAAGTTAGTGTGAAAACTTGGTAATCCCTAGGGAAGCAATTGATGATTTTAAGATCCATAGCTTTGGAAAGAGACCTTAATAGACATATTTCTCTTATAAATTGACAAGCAGATGGGAAGATGAGAAAATGAAATTACAGGAGGAATTAAACAGTCTGGAAAGGAGGTTGTTAAATATCTCATTAGGAAAAATAGTTAAATACTATCCCCCTCACTCCTCCCTGTGCCCTGAAACCTCCTTCAACTTGGATTTCTGCATTGCTTTGTCTTTGCCAGGTACTAACCTGTTTGATTAATATATTTTTGTTTCTGAAGGACTATTCTTAAAGACAGTAAATTTTTTCGCTATTTGCACACGGCTGTGATAGTGAGTGGAACCATGCTGGTGTTTGGGGGAAACACACACAACGACACCTCCATGAGCCACGGCGCAAAGTGCTTTTCTTCAGATTTTATGGCATATGATATTGGTAAGTTCTTGCAGAAATAATAATAAAAAAAAAAATCTTGGATATTCAAAAAGAGCTCACTTCAAGAAAACTAATTTACATGCTGGGAATATAATACCGAATGCCACTAAGCATGCTGCGGAAGAATGTATAATCAGGGGAGGCTCGTTTAGCTTGCTACACATTACCAAGCAAATGAGCTGGTGCAATGATTTCTAGGCAAATACAGCAACAGCTATTTGGTCAACAGTTTATATGCAACCTTGGGCATTAAAAATCATTTCTTGAACAGAAAGCATATTGTTCTACCATCGCAACCATACAGCTATTCTGATATTTTGAGTGTGTTTTAATCTATGGTTTCTCAAAATGCAGGCTGTTAGGACAGTTACAAGCACTGGATGCTGCTGAAGCTCCACTTGTACGTTGCACGCTCTTGTTTTAACTACAGGCTGGCTGTCTTGTTTGGCTGTGCTGTTTATAATGTCATTGTTTATATGTACGCTTTATAAGCATAAATATCCCCATAAGCACTGTTTAACAATAAAGCCAAACGATTAGATTTTATTTGGAAAGATTGGGTTTTGATGAGCTTGAATAGCCAGAAGAGGGCAGCATTTATTTGTGAATTCGGAGTCCAAAGATGATGCATTTAAGAAGAAAAGAAAAAGATGAAATTATATAAAAGAAGGTGCATGCACATCCAGATAATTCACACTGGAGAAAAACACCATTCTGTACTCATATCACATTCTGCCTTCTGCTCTAAGAATTCCTTAAATGTGGGCTCTTGTGGAATAATCATGTAAACCTGATTTCTTGGAGTGACTGTCCACTGAGATGTCACTCCTGGTTTGTGAATATGCAAGCGAATAGATTACATTCAGCAGCAGGGTTTGGCATCCTTGTGCTATTTTCCTGTCTGCTACAGGGATCATTCCCTTCTGCTTCCTGTGATTTCAAATCATATCCCTGTGGAATTTATTGTGTGCTCCTAGCTAGCTTTATTTTGAGTTTTTGCTTGAAGAGTTCAAATGAGGTATTTTGAGAGTCATGGACAGAGTAATTTTTTACAACTTTGATAGCAGTAGTGATTGATTTTTCTTGCTGTTTTGCTATCTTCCCTGACCTATTGAACTATTAGGTGTAACATACAAGTTGCATTAATTTGAAAAAATATGCCAATAATAATGTTCATTTTGATTAAATTTAGTTAACAGGCAAGTTCCTGTTACATGAAGTAAGTGTTGCAGTCGACTTGCCCAGTTCTTACCAGTTTTAGACTGAGAATTAGAGCTTGCATTGATTGCACTTCACATGCCAGGGATGAGAGGTGTTCTGGTGCTTTTGGGTACCCTCATTCCTTAGGGCAGAGACTCAGGCTGGAAAGAACAGCTTGTTTTCAAAAAATAAAGACCATTTTTCTTTTCCATGTCACCTTTCTTTGCATTAATTACCTTATCCATTTGGACCGGGAGCACTACCAGGAATACTGATCATTAGTGTCACAGCAGAAACAACTACCTGGTGGTTCTTCATACATGATCATGCTGATGTTGGTCTCCACTGGAATAAGCCCATATACTGTGGGGAAGCATTGCAAATATACAAGACAGCTGCGGCCATGCCACCATAGATGGATATGACTGTTACATCTTCAACATAAACGTGCTTATGTGTTTCTTATCTGTCCCTTGATGCTCCTAAGGCTGAAGCTATCCAGGAGAAAACCAGGCAGCAAAGTCAACTGAAACTGAGTGCCTTCAGAGGAGAGGCTTAGTAATTGGCCATCTTAGCATATAGAAGTAGGGAATATCTGGCTAATTTGCTCATTTTTAACATCTTGTTGATGAGATGATATCTTAGTGATCATAGGGATAGTTGGAAGACTGGAAAAAAACAATATTAAAGTGAAGTCTAAAATAAAGGCTTCAAAAACAGGTCTTTTTTTTTAACCTTTGACATTACAACTTAATTCTGCAGTAACATGTTTTATTTAAGTTGTCAATTTTTTCTCTTTTTCTCTTCTCAAATATCTAAGTAATGAGACCACATGCATTGCATGTTGTGAGGACATATTATCTTCTTTTTTTTTGGTGTAGGATGCAAATAGATGTCACTGAGATGTGTGCTGGGATTCTCTGGAGGTTTAGCAGATTAGGTAGATCTGAGAATGCATTAATGCTGCTTATCCTTTTATCCTCCACTTTACCAGGTGGGGCTTATTCAGTCCAAACTGTCCAGGTAATTCCCAGTTTTGGAAAGTTTCAGGATAACAGCCAAGCTGTCTGTGTGCATGTGCATTTCTTTTTGTTCTGTGTTACTTCTCAGGACAAGCTCTTGGATTGTGTAGATGTTCAGGTTGGGTGAGCACTTGGGTAGAGCAGCCTCATGATATTTTTCCTATGTTCTGCACACTTCAGTAACTAGTTAGCACTTCTTATCCCCAAAATTGGTCTCTCCGGCCTCTGTAGAAGAGTTTCCTACTCTGCAGCAGTTTTGTCTCTGGGTGGACAAATGCCTCACTTGAATCCTTTATCTCCTTCTCTCAACAACTCATAGCAGGCAAAGGAGCCACGTGTCAGTTGCAGCCCTTCCGTGGCTCCACGTCCAGCTCCATGAGTGAGAAGGCAAGGGTTGTGCTTTCCAAAGCGTCACGTCCCTCGTGTATGGGATGTGTCAGAAACGAAAAGAGAAACTTCACAGGCAGAATGTCCCAAAATTCAGTTACTGTGGATTTAAGTAACCATTCTTAATGTCTAAATAAGTTTTAACTTTATGGTTTTATTAAAACTCAGCGTGAAATATTCATGTAAAGGCTATACTTGTATAATGATCTTTTCTCCCCACAGGACAGAAATTAACACTCTTCTATTTGCCCCACCAAAAATTCAGTTCTGATGACTAACATAGAAAAAGGCTGGATGTTTTCATAGTATATGTGTTCTTTTCAAATCGTATATTTGATAAATTCTGTGCATTGTAAGCTTTAGGCTTGGCTTAACTTTTAAGTCAGGAAGGAGAGAATTCTTTGTAGTTTCAGAATTATTCATTTTTTCCGATACTTGATCTTCAATTAAAGATGGGAAAGAAGCTTAGAAAGCAAAACATTCCAGGCCTTCTATTAATCTAGAAAAATATGTTTCTTGGCCTCACATAACTCAAAACTTGATGGATAAAAAATTGCGAATTGCAGTCCAATTTTGCTGAAGTCTCCTATTAAAAATTGGAATCATGCGTGCTTGTCTCAGGAGTGATGCTGGGCTAGGTTAAATTCTTTGAAAATTGAGCAAGTGACATTTAAAAATAAACTTCAGAATCACAATTTATTAGTGTATTAAGTCCAACCTACTGGGTCCTATGGCTTTTATTTGTCAGCACTCTTAAACAAAAGTTTCTGCTGGAGCTGACGTTAGGATCAGTTGTTTTACCCAACAATTCTCCAACTAAATTTGGTAAAAAAATAATAAGGTTGTTTTTCTTTGCCCCATCAGTTTATCTGTGTACCAGTTTTGGGTTTTTTTGTGTTTTTTTTTTTTCTTTTTTTTCCCAGAGATACAGTCCATGCCATAACAGTTTTATCTTGTGTTAAATAATCTGTGAGTATTTGAGGGCTCTGCAGATCTTTACAGCAGATTACCTTTTCTGTCTTAATTGCATAAATTGCTTACAACTGCCTTTGGGTTGTTAGCCCCCAAGGTGATCCCATTCACTTTGCGAAGTTTAAGTGATAGGAATTGGACTGACTTTTCCTGCTTTTGTTCCTTTGATTGCTCAGTGGGTTATATGTTTCTTAGGTTATTTTTCTTCTTGCTGCCTAAAGGAAGAAATTACCTGAGAAACCGAGTAAAAAATGAAGCAGAACTTATAAATGTTATGCTAATAGAAAAAGATGGAATAATCTCACATTATATTAAAAGAGAAAAACAACCACAAATCCTTAAGCTATGATGAGTAAAAAAGTATTTTTAAAAACATGTATATCTACCCTCTAGGAATATAATTGCAATGGAGGAAAAAAAAAAGATAAGTCTGTTCTCAGTGATACTACTGGTTTGGGGCAAACCCAGAAATAACTCACATATAAACAGATAAAAACTGAACTTGTTATGCAGTGAAAAATTCCAGTAGTAAAGGAGAAAAAGCAATTCAAGCCACCGCTGTTTAATTACACATGATTGCCAGAAAGCTAATAACCCCTTCAGCACAGTGCCCCACACCTTTTCCTCTTTCATGAACTGTTTAGGTGATGGAGCAGAGCCATTGCATCCTTCTTTTCTTTTTTTTGTCACACTGTGGCAGCTGGGGTGAAGACTCTGTCTTAAATCTTGCAAAAAAGGTAACTCAGCACTCTCGTAAACTGTCCTGTTTCACTCAAGATTTGCATGTCGATGGTGGGCAAAATGGTCTCTCTATGGTTATTAAAGTATTTTGGGATCTTTCAGGAAGAAATATGCTGTTTAAGTTGAATCATTAATTATACTGAGAAACTTTTCTGAAATGAGCTTTCCTTAATCCTAGCTTGTGATCGGTGGTCTGTTCTTCCTCGCCCGGGTCTCCATCACGATGTGAACAGGTTTGGACATTCTGCTGTGCTATACAACAGGTAAGGTTACAAGCAAGCTGGAGGATGTTGGCATTTTTCATACCTTAATAAATGTTTACCCGTCGATCAGTAACACTGAGAGCAGAGGGTTGAGGATCTGATGCAAGACTCTCAAAGTTCTCAGATTCTTGTGAAGTCTTCAGTATCCACCTGTCCCTATCAGCCCTTCTTCACTGGACTAAACTGTCTCAGCTCACTTAGTTCTTTCAAAAATTTGATGTTTTCCATATTTCTATTCTTTTTTCTTATTTACAGATATATTTATCTTTCTCATTTATTTCATTTTTTAAATGTATTTCATATTTCTATTTCTTATTTAGCCGCACTGACAGCTTTTATCTCCAAATCTTACTTTTCCCTCACGGCTTCTAAATTTGTCCATGTTTCAGTTTACATGACTTATCCTGTGTGGCTTATCCTTATTTAACATTCACGTGATGTACAGTATTTAGGTGAAATCATAGGTGAGATTTCTGCTGTTAAGCATTACATCACTGTAATAATATCCGTGCTTTCAGGTGAACATCTGTTACTGTATTTGAGTCTGCAGAACTGGGTGTAAGAAATTATATTTCTTAAGAGTCATTCGTTCTGGTTCCTTCATCCTTTGAGGATACTTTCTGTTAATCAGTAGCACTATTTTAAGCTCAGGTTAAGCCAGACAGATAACTGTCACTGCCTTTAAAAGGAAGGCGTGCTTTTAGATACCTCTTTTTGTCTCTAAAATCTCACTCACTGTGTATTTGTTTAGTGTATACTGAATACCAGCTGTGCATTTGTTCCCATGAAGGGCAGTTAAGCCCATGCTTTAGTTCTTTCCTCAAATAGGATGAAAATCATATTAGAATACTTATTATTCCACCAAAACTTTTATTTAGTTGCATTGACTCTTCTTCACTGTTTTTTTAAATGTACATTTACAAATATGGAGGCACAAGTGGTTTTGGGTGACATTTTTGTGTAACTAATGAAATTTGATGTTTTGCCTGAAGCAGTTGTGATACTAAAGAAGGTTTTTGAAAAACACCCTTCCTCCCCTCCCCAATATTATTTTATTTTGGGTTTTTTTTTTGTTGACACAATGACTCTTTGCTCAGTTGCTAACAGCCATGAAAATAACTGTGGTTTTGTCACAGTGGTGTAGCTAGATGTGACAACACTGAATTGTTTTGTCACAGTTTCTGAACGCTGCTTTAATGGTGTGATACCATCTCCCTGATTTTTTTTAGCCATTCTCTTGCTGCTATTCTTTACATGAGGATCCCACATTTCTGCAGCATTTTATGTATAGTCCCATAATTGTTGATCAGGTGTCACCCACAGTTTTGGCTGAGAGGGAAGGTTGGTCCATGACCTTGGAATGGTTTGACTCTGTCTCAACACCCATGGGTTGAGGTTCTCTGGCTTCCCTGAAAGAGTGGAAATTGACAGACCTTTTCTTTAGTGCCTCCCTTACCCAGGAGCTATTTATTTGGATTTATGCATGCTGGAACATAATAAACACCTTGCTCACACCTTGAATCACGTTGAGTTGCAGCACTATGTGGTCTGTAAATGTAGGTGCAGATATTTATATTTTTACTTACGTTTTATCCAGCACCATGTATGTATTTGGAGGCTTCAACAGCCTCCTCCTGAGTGACATACTGAAGTACACACCGGAGAGATGTGAAGCTTTTGACAACGAAACGGCCTGCCTGCGAGCAGGTCCTGGTGTCAGATGCGTGTGGGTCCATTCTCACTGCGTCCCCTGGGAAATGGCGACGGTGGCGCAGCGACAAAAGGTCTTTGAAGACTGTCCTCCCAAACCAGGTATGTGTCACGTTCTTGCCATTTCCTTTTCCAAAAAGGTGTGTAGGGTCTTTTTCTTTTCTGAATTCTGTCTTGTGTTATTGGTATGCCATTATCAGATAAAGTTTAAGATGGGAGTGCTTTAGTTCTGCTTCCATACGTGCCTTGGGAGACCTTCCTCTGACCAAGTGGCTGCAGTGGCTTGAACATGTTTCTACCTCTCCTTCCCACTGAAGCTGCTTTTGATCATTAGATTTTTTTAATGTTTATTCCTACTGTACTGCTTGTACTTCCTTTCCTATCCCAAACAGACACCACCAGTCTGGAATCAGGCCTGGATTGCTCTGTAGATGTTTGCTCCAAGAACTGACCTTGTAAAAGCCAGCAATTATCTGATGAGCACCATGGGGCGTGGGAAGGGGGGTCTGGGTCCTGCAGTGTTGTCCTGTGCTTTTCAAGAGAGGCAGTAGGAAGTGTGTTTTAAGAAAAGTTACTTTATTTCTCTTTCTACAGTATTGCATAGATAGGGATATACAAAAAGAACATCTGTTTTAAGGTCTGATTCCTGTTTTATCCCTTATGATAATTTTTATAGCACTTTATCCCAATGCATTTGTTGCTCTGAATTGAATTATATGAACCTTGATTCTGTAATAGATGGTAGCCTTTAATTATTTAAAAGAAATTGATGTAAAGGGACATTGCTTTGATGGGTTCTCAATGTACAATAAATTTTCACAAAACACTGGCGATAAGCAATTGGAAAGATGAAGTGGAAAGTTCAAGCTTTGCATGAAAATGCTCCACGTAATTGAAGGTCAGGCTTACAGCAAAATGGGCCTGCAGTGGGAGATTTTCACTGTCCTTGTGAAATGTCCTCTGGCATAATTTGCATGGGCATTGACTGGACATGCATGCCCAGTCCTGGTTCATGCACTTCCATGGCTTGGTGCATTTTCTGGTGGTGTGTTTTACAGATTTTGGGCACTAAAAATGATTGATGCTGCAAATGAGTGCAATTTTCTATCAGTTCAATCACGTAAAAGTATCTGATTTACTAAGTAGTCGATAGCGGAAAATCTACAGGCACCTACTGTTTGGTTGTATCTTTTGCTATATGTAATCAAGTTCTTAGAGCTCTGTCAGGAAATGCCTGTTTTTGGTCATGCAGGTTTTTTTCTTTAATAGTTGTAGACAATGAAAAATGTGATCAGATTACAGACTGCTATAGCTGTACAGCAAATACAAACAACTGTCAATGGTGCACTGACCAGTGTATCTCAATGCATAACAACTGCACAGAGGAACAGGTAAAGTCTCTCTAATACTTCTGTAGTTTAAATTTAGCCTTTGAAATATCAAATGTGCAGATGCCTTCATCTGTCAGTATTATGACCCCAGTTGTTTTGTTATTTCCAGGGCTTGTGTAGCTCTGAATGTTTTTTCAAGTTGGTCCAAGGGCTTTTCATGGGACTCTCCACTTAAGTTAGGAAGATGGCTAAGGGCAGGGGAAGAGGGGGTGTGATTATTCAGTAAGACATGTAACCATTTGGGTTTGTTATCAATAGAGCCTCCCCTAGAAAAATAACCCTAACCCTTTTGTGATAGCGCTAGTAAGGAAAATGTGTCAGATGGTGGCCTGGGGGAATATCTTGAATACACAGTACAGTCTATGTCTAGTGTCACAACGTTTGAATATATAGGTTGCTTTGTAGGTCTGAACTGTGAAGTTTAGTGTGGTAGTCATTATAGCTGTTGTAAACCGACATTGGTTGGATGGGAAAAAGCCTCATTTGTGCTATTTATTTTAGGTTCCTATTACTCTATATGACAATTGTCCTAAGGATAACCCTGCCTATTATTGTAACAAAAAGACAAGTTGTAAAAGCTGTGCCATGGATCAAAACTGTCAGTGGGAACCTAGGAATCAGGAGTGCATCGCTTTACCAGGTAGGTATTGGTTGTGTTTGTAAGAAAAAATCTCAAATTCACCCAGCCCAAAAGTTGCTTTTTTTTCTTTTTAACCCCATTGTCTGTGATTTTTTAGTGCTAAGCTGGAGTAAATAATGTTGTTTAATCATATGAGCTTTGGTATGAAACTTTATTCCTACTAAATTCAGAAAGTCTGATGGAATATATTTCAGTCCCAATTGTCTGAAGAGTAGTATGATCATTTGTGTAATTATTAGGCTGTATTTCATCTCTCTCTTTTCATTTGATAAAAGCAGTACTGTTGATATAATAAGCTTCTGGAAGGTATTAGATTTAATAATGCATGCTATTTAATTTTAGAATCTAGAATTGGGGAAAAGCATAAAGGCACATACTGAACGAATTAGGCAAATAACACCTGAAGTGTGTAAGGAAAATTCTCTTATTAGAACATTTCCAGTGGGAGCTCATAGGAGTTGATTATTAGTCCCCCTGTCATAACGTGGGTTTTTTTCCCGGTGACTGAGAGAGAAGTATAGCATCTTTGGTGACTGACGTTTGCAGTTAATAAAATATAGGGAAAGGGAAAAAACCAACACAGTCAGAAGCTTTAAATGGGCATGGAAAGCATTCCCGTAGTAACTCTGATAGGACTGGATGTGTCCAGGTCTGGCATTTGCAAGTCTGGAATAGTGAAAAAAAAATGGAAAGACTTCGGAGAAGAGCCATGACAGCGAGAAAAACATCTTTTAATGAGATAGATAAAAAGCTTAGTCTGTTTAATTTGTTGTAGAAAAGGGGGTGACTTATCATATGTGTAAAAAAACCCATCTGAAAAATTGACACTTGAGAGCTTTTCAATCTGTTCGATAAATCTAAACCAAGGTGTCGGAGACAGGCATCAGCTCTACAGAAATTCACACTGAAAATGTCCATCTATGTTTTTATGTAAGGGTGGTTATGAGTGGGATAAATAATTGCCTCAAGGAGTTTTTCAGTAGTGGGCATGGCCGTGCTCAAGATGAAACGGGGTTTAATCCTGGAAGTTGGGTGCTGTGGACAGGATAAGCACAACACCCCTCTTCTCTCGAAAGGTGTCCTAAAAACTGCAGTTGAGTAAGTGGCTCGAAGCCATCAGCAAGATACTCATTTCCCTTCCTTTACTCTTTCTTCTACAGTGTTTTTGCTATTTGATCTTGCAGTAAGTTCTTTGCCTACCTGCTGCAGATAACTAAATGGTAGCGTCACAGATCAGCTCCCCTAAATGGCTTTTCTTGTCCTCTGGTCTTTTCATATATAGATACTTTTAAGCATGCAGATAAGTCATGCTGGTTTGGGATGAGGCTGTAGGTTTTATTTTGGTGGAAGGGCTCTTTCACTACTTTGAATGTTGTGAAGGTCACTTGCATCTCTGGTTTTACTTTCTTTCCTCCCCCTAGAAAATATCTGCGGAACAAACTGGCATTTGGTTGGCAACTCCTGCTTGAAAATTACAAATGCAAAGGAGAACTATGATCATGCCAAACTGTCCTGCAGATCTAATGGTGCTTTGCTGGCTTCCCTCACGACCCAGAAAAAGGTAGAATTTGTTACAAAAGAGCTGCAGAAGATGCAGTCTTCGGTGAGTGCTTCTCTTTTATGTCCCTTGAGTAATTAAGCCCTGACTGTGGAAAAGTCCTTGCTGTGGTATTGTATGCTCTGTAAAGAATAGACATGCCTCTTAACTGAAAAGGACTGATTTTTCTTTTGAAATTCAACATACCCTATGGGTGCTTTTGAAGTGAAATTGTAGGGAATGTAAATGGGAAAGATAAATACAAACATTCACGGTGCCTCAAAGGTATCGCTTTCTATAATGAAATCACAAGCACGTTTCTCTTGTGGGATACATGACTGCAGCAGGAGTCCTCTTGTGACTTGTACACAATATTTTATAAATAAAGGTCCCTTTGGGGCACCGGAGGTGTTTAATGTAAAGCATTTAAAGTTATTTATTCTGCTCAGAAAAGCCGCTGTTTAAAATGTCGGCTTCTTATTCCGCAGAGCTGTTTGGCTTATTTGGAGTTATTTATGTTTGATTTAGTGGCAGGTGCTTTTCTGTCGGAGCCAGTGAGAAGTGAATTGGAATCTGTCCCTCTTCATGCATCAATAAAATAAATATATATTTTTTTTCCAGTCCCTGGCAGAAGCACGGAGGTATTCGGGGCTGGTTGTGTAGGTGGTGCTAAAGCCCTAACAAAGAACGATGCTGTGCGACTTTCCTGAAATCCTGGTTTAGGCTGCAGAGCTGCTGTGGCTTGACGGCACATCAGAGTAACTCCTCTTGGGTCCCAGAGGCCACTGTGGGCAGGGCTGGCGATCAGGAAGAGTTTTATATATATGAAAAATGAGATTGGAGGCAGTAGGATTGCTGCTTTTCAGGGGAGAATGTACTTCAATACTAAAGAGAAACATACCCCTGTTGAAAGGAGAACATTCCCTTCTTTGATTCCCTTTGTAATTTTGAAGTGGCATTTCAACAGTTATGGGCTTTTAGAGGGTATTCAATTTAGCCGAAAAAAAGGCGAGGTGCAATTCAAGCAAGGGTGTTTGTTGAATCTTTTGTATAAGAGGGGCAGCCAAGCCTGGGGTACTGTGAAAGTATGTGGTTCTACCAGCTCCAGGTGTTTCTGGATATTCCAGTAGTTGTGTAGTGTAAATTCCTAAAGACACATAGCAGTCCTTCCATAATAGTGTCTGAACCGTTACACTGGGGAGAAAACAAATGTTAATTTGTGGGGTTTTTTTCATCTACAGTGTCCTTTAAAAAATGAACCTTAGAAACCTAAAGAGACTGTTAGCTCTTTTTAGTGGATATTAGTATCGAATGCTTCTAATGGGGGAGAGGGGGAAGCCAACCTGTGTCTGGTACTTAACTTTTGCCATCCGATGGCACGCTGCTGCTGTGCTGGGAGAGGCTGTGCTTTGCAGTTATTCCCTTTTTAGGTAAGCTGTATATAGATGTTTTATAATAAGGAGAAAACGTGTTGGTATAGTGTTGCTGTTAGAAGTTGAAGGTTTAAGAGTGCGTAAAATCAGTTTGAGGTAGGTGATGGTTATATATAGCAGTAACAGAAGACGTATGGTCTAGAGCTTTCCTAGAACAGCTGTGCCACCAAAGCACTCTGATGGAGAAAAGATTCTAACAGTAAAATAGCATACTGTACCAATACAGTTTAAATGCCTCTCCTCCAAGTAAAAGCGTGCCAAAAATTAAAATGCTAGTAGAAATAGTGTTATTATTGGTTGTGCATATTGAGAATTCTATTGCCAGCAATACTAATTTAGATTTGACCTGCTCTGACTCTATACCCCTTCATATGTACAGTCTTAAACAGCAGAGGTCTTCTAGCCAGATTGTAGAGTTAGGTAGCTTGTATCACTTCAATTGTATAGGGGACTCCTAGCTTTCTTCCTTACGTCCAACTGTGGCTCCAAAAATCTTTTTTTCCCTGTGTCTAGCCATATATAGGAGTCACAAATGTATTAAGAGCAACTTGCAGTTAATTTCATAGTCAGCCAGTATGAATGTTTTACTTGTTCTCCTCCTGATTTAGATAACTAGAAATGTCGACTGGGGGGAAAAAAAGAAAAGAAAAAAAAAAAAGAGGGGTTTCCTGAAGGATTTCTCTGTGGCATTTAATTCCAATAGCACTGAGAAACAAATATTTTCCATATTACATTTTTGTAACACCTAACCTGGCAAAGCTGTTATGAGCTTGGTGATGTGTATTTTCTGCTAATACCTAAGGTAAAACAACCTGGGTGTTAAATCTACCACTTTCCTTTCTTTCTAGTCAAAAATTTTAACTCCGTGGGTTGGACTGAGGAAAATCAATGTGTCGTATTGGTGTTGGGAAGACATGTCTCCCTTCACCAACAACCTGCTCAAGTGGCTCCCCGATGAACCAAGCGATGCTGGGTTTTGTGGTTATTTAGCTGAGCCTTTCCAGCAGGGACTGAAGGCAGCAACGTGTATCAACGAAGTCAATGGCAGCATCTGCGAAAGGCCAGGTAACAGTATCTAACTTGCGTGTCTCATGGGGAGCAGGTTGACTTAATAAGTATTTATATTTCCTAGAGACTAAAGAAGATCCCATTCATTACTTTTAAAACTAGCTGCGCTGTGATTTTGCCAAAGAGAAGTGGTCCTGAAAAAGTGTCCTGTGTAGTGATTTCATACAGGAATCGGAGGTTTTAAAAATAGTTTCTACATTTACACTGTTAACTGTAAAATGCTTGAAGTACATTATAGTTTAATTATTTTTCTCTAAATTGCATACCTGAATGTGACATTTAGGTTAATTATGGTATAGAGCAATCTCTCATTTAAAAAAAATAAAGCTGCTTTCCAATTGAACCTCCCTTTTTCCCCCGCCCCCTGCTCCGTAGCCAGAGGAGGATTTTATCAAAGTTTGAAATTAATTGGGCAAGACACTTTGGAGATATGAGAACTTTGAAAAAGAAGCTATTTGCTTTTGGGAAAACTCTTCCAGCTTTGTTGGAAGCGTGTATCTTTTAAAATGGCTTGGTCTGCTAACTCTCCATTATAGCTGATTATTTCTGAATACCAATTAGTGCCTCTTTAAGTTTTAAGAAAGTTGGCTGATTACATAAAATTTCTAAGTAAGCTGCACCACTATAAATCATTCTTCGTGGAAGTGCAGGATGCAGATCAAAAATGTGGAACCCGAACTCAAAATTTGGTATATTTCAACTTGCAGTACTTTGAATTAGTTTAATCTCTAACTTGTTTTTTATGGTCTGAGAATTGTCACTTGAAAGAGATGATAAAGCACTGGCTCACACCGGAAACAGGAGTTAGTTCTGCTTTCAATACTCACTTTATGTGTGGAACTGACCAAATAACTTAAAACACGTCCCTGTGCGCTCACATAAAACGGGGGGTTTCTTCCCAAGACTTCAGTTGGGAGAAGAGCTAAGGAACACATCAACAGGCCTGCAGAGAGATAGAGACCACATTCATAACACCATTTAAATTGTTTTCTGTCCACCTTCAAAAGCACTAACACTCATGGAGGATACATAATAAGAGAAATGATTTTGCAGTACTGCATTTCTCATACCCACCATAGCATGAGATACCTCATCTCCAGCTCCATCCAGCAGCGCCACACCACAAACAAAGTGTTTCAGCTCGGTGACACTGAACTGTTTTTCAACCTGAATAATAGACAGGGCTTTTTACCTCTGTCTGTCTTTCTCGGGGGTCGTTACCTGTATGTTTCTGGAGGGAAGCTGACTGGTGTCCCCCTGCCCGCAGCTAACCACAGCGCCAAGCAGTGCCGCACGCCCTGCGCCCTGCGCACCGTGTGCGGGGAGTGCACCAGCGGCAGCTCCGAGTGCATGTGGTGCAGCAACATGAAGCAGTGTGTGGACTCCAACGCTTACGTGGCCTCTTTCCCCTACGGGCAGTGCATGGAGTGGTACACCATGAGCAGTTGTCCACGTGAGTAATTGCTTCTGCGGCTTGACGAGTGGGCTGGAGTCTTGTAATTTGCAGGCGTTTGCTGGCAAAAGTCATCAAACTCTGCACATCAGTCATCCTGCCCCAAAGGCTTTTCAAAAATAAAAAGTGACTGACCCCAGGAGCTTAGGGTGTGCAGCTCTGCCCTGCATCATGTAAAGCGTTACAGAATTAGGTCCCGGTTACAGGAACTATCAATTAAACTAAATGGCGGATAGCGAAGGCTTTCAAGTCAGGTGATGAAATCTCCACTTATTTTTTTCCAGTGGAGAAGTAATGAATTCAAATAATTCATTATTTGAATTCCTATCCTTCACATTAATTGTCGCATAATTTCATGTGATTAACTTTTTTGGTATCTCTTCTGTATCTCTTTTATTTGTATGTGGAGCCAATGTAATTTAATATTAGATTATCTGCATCAAATCCCAATTAGGGGTTACACGACTGTTTTATTCTGAAGTATTGTCTGGGTATTGCCCACAGTAGGAATTTTTAACTTACTTTAAAGAAATGATTAATTTTTTTTCCCCCTCTTAGGTAGATGTGAGCAAATGCAAAAGATTTATGATGCTTTGGAATATTGCTTTCTGTTTTCAAAATGTGGGGAAATAGTGTAGAAATTTTAAAAGTGGTTGGACAGTTTTAAAAATCATTTTTATTTATGTGTGAGCAGGGGAGTCAGGAAAGCTCTTGGGGTGGCAGAGGGAGAAGAGTGCCAGTGTTCCCCAGGAGGGAAGTTGGGCAGTTTGAGTTGCTGCAGTTGTTCCAGGAACTTTGGGAAGCTGATGAGAATAAGCTGGGTAGCTCAGTATTGCAAAATAAGAGATGGAGAGAATTAGTTTCGGGTAACTGTCAAGCATGAGAGTGTGAACTTCCTGTATTGCCAAAGTCAAAAATTGGCGGAAGCATCAGGCAGGAGATGAGTAAGCTGAAATAATGGAAAACAGTGTTTTTCTACTATTTTTTTTTTAAAGGCAAATATTGTCAATTTAAACTTTAAGATAGAAAGTCCGCTCATCTTAGAACACCAACAGTCTACAACATTTTTTTTTAAGGATAGTTTTGGGAAAGAAATAGAAAAACTTTCCTAGATACAAAGAGTTTGTCACCCCTGAGATACAATCCCATTTACGAATGGAACAGTTAAAGGGTGGTGATGCTTTTTTCCCTGATTTAGTTGATTGCTGGGCCCAGGGGATCTGCGTGTGGTGCTCTGAACATCCAAAGAAGACAAATTCTTATTCTGTATTTGTATTCTGTGCCGCTTTTTGGCTCAGATAAATACTTGAAATAGCAGCATGTGATATTAAAACATGTGGTAGGAAGAGACTCAAAGCAAGTAAACAAACTGGGTTTTTTGGCCTTTACTTCTGGATGGCTCATTTTGTAGTTGGATGCGTTGTAAATCAATTGGAGGTCTTCTGTAGTTGGGAACATAAACCTCGGATTTCAGTGGGTGGCGTTTAATGTTTAGAAAAACTTTACACGTGTATTGAGTTGTTTCATAACTCACTGATTAATTCAAACTGTGTTAATAGTTATCTTAGATTCTATAATAAACATACTGATAGGAATGAATATATATATGTTACTGTGAATATCAGAATAAATATTTACAGATTTGGCAGGATAAATGCTTAAGGTCACAGCAGATGTACAAGGGTTTTGCATTTGTTGTTGCCTGTGTTTTGGGACAGTGATTTATTCCACAATTTGATGTTTGGTGGTTTTTTTGTTTGTTTTTTTTTCTTTATAGCTGAAAACTGTTCAGGCTACTGCACGTGTGCTCACTGTCTGGAGCAGCCCGGCTGCGGCTGGTGCACTGATCCCAGCAACACTGGGAAGGGGAAGTGCATCGAGGGCTCCTACAGAGGCCCCGTCAAGATGCCAACCCCGTCCGCAACAGGGAAACACAGCTTGGAGCCTGTCCTTAACGTCAGCATGTGTCCTGTGGAGAACAACTATAATTGGTCCTTTATTCAGTGTCCAGGTAAATGAGCAGCGTTTAATTTTTCAAACATTTCAACAGCAGCAACAGTTAAATGCAAGGGGAGAGACTTTTTAAGACTGTACCAATGTCTGTGTTCCCTCATGTTAATGGAGGGAGGAAAAGAGCATGGAAGACAAACAAGAAATAACACATTTTGAGATGGAGGAGTTGTGCAGGCATCTGCAGGTGAGCTGCAGAGATGAGCTGCATGAAAGCTTATTTATGCATTGCTCTAGCGAAATTTTTCCTTTCCCTACAAACTTTTACCGAGTTTTTAACTTTTGTTTCTCTATTTGTTTTATGGTTGGTTGAAAGAATGGCAATTCTTTCTTCGAAGGGTGATTTAACTGTTAGTAATGCTCACAGTGATTCTGAAATAATGGGTTTGACTCTATACACATAGAATAAAATTATTCGGGCTGCTGCTAAGCCCTTTCTTCCCCATTCCTTCTTGTAAATCTCTCCCAGTAGCTGCTTCCAGTCCTGTCTGTCCAATGTGCACATAGTGTTTTGGGGTTCAGTTCTTTGTGTGTTACTTTAAATTTCAGGTTTTCAATACACACCTTTATTTGAATTCATGTGTCACTAGCAAGACTGCAAGAACCTCTTTGGAAGGTGCATGAAATAGTTTCATTGAGCCTCTGCAGAGCACAGACTTCTGGGGCTCTATGTGAAGCACTGTATTTGAGTACAAAAACCCATCCTTGTTTGTTTTCTTCAGCCTGCCAGTGTAATGGGCACAGTAAGTGTGTAAATGAAAGCATCTGTGAGAAGTGTGAAAATCTGACAACTGGCAAACACTGTGAAACTTGTATCTCGGGCTACTATGGTGATCCCACTAATGGAGGAACATGTCAGCGTAAGTGATATCTCAAATCTTCCTGTGCTGAAGTCTTTGATGTTTTTTGCTCTTTACTCATTCCTCTGGTATCTTAACTGAAATTGATCCTGGTGATACATCTTTTTTCTTTTCTGCAAGCAAGTCTCAATCCTTGTTTCTTCAAATCAAAGATATGGAAACTGCTTGATGAAATTATTTGACTTTCATTGCACAAGATAAAGATGATTTTTTTACCCTCCTTTATAAACTTTAAATGACCACAGTGAAAAATTGAGCTCATTTTAGTGTTTGATGATCCTGTTTTGAAAAGAAACAGTGTTAATCCCAATGTCTTGAACAAATTTCTGCTTATCTGAATTCCACCTTCCGTTACTTTTGGTTGATGTATTGTGTGTTTATTGTTATATTTGTCTGCTTCATAAAAGACTTGCCATGTTTCACTGAGGAGGTGGCTGGATTTCAGTTGAGGATTAAGTGATCCCTGTTAAGATTGTAAAAGTTCATAAAAGTGCTTTGGGGCGCTTTGGCACAAAGAATGTTTTTCAGTTGTGCAAGATCTAGTTAACAGCCTGGTGAAAAGTCTTTCTTGAAGGACCAATACAGGTGATACTGAGAAATGAACATGTAAGATTTGAAGTTTTGACCTTGAATCTTTAAACATTACTCCTAATTACTGCAAATTTTGTAGTGCAGCATGGGGAGACCGGTTGTAGACCAGTATCCAGCTGTGCTAGTAAGGGAAGATGCTCTCTCTCTGAAGAACTTCGATGGAGTGTATTTAGGTGGAGTCATCATTAGATACAGTGATAGAAGCGATAGAACAGAAATAAGATTATTTGATGTCAGAGTAGTATCAGTTCTTCCATGAAATGAGTGTGGGTGGTTTGTAGGCACCCCAGAAGAAATAAGTGAAGGTGATTAATGAAAGGATATTGAAGAATTCCAATTGCTCCTTCAAAGTGTGGAGACAATCCAGCAGAAAATACTTCAAAATTCATTTAATATGTTTACTGGAAATAGCATCAACCTTTTGGATGAAGTTGAGAGTCAGTAGCTGGAGCATGAATGTCTTGTTTCCTAAAGAAAGAAGAACTAAGGGATGTTTGAGGCTATGAAGAAGAGCCTCCCAGCAGACAGATTCAAGGAATGATCTGAAAAGATCACAAATAGGGACAAGGCTACTTTACTTAGAAGAAAAGGTGTTGCGGTAGCTGGGATGAGAAATCATGACAGACAGCACAACAGCACAGGTACAAAGGATAAGGTGCATCTCTGACACTTTATTTCAGAACATTATCTGCAAGATTAAATACCACTGATATTTTTAAACTCATTTCATGTGAAGATAATTTGAAGTGCAGGAATTAATAAATTGAGACTGAGTTTTCCTGAGAAAATGTATAATTCTGCTCTGAGCATTCAGGTTTAATCATTGGATCACAACGTGCCTTTTGATATTTGTCACTTCTCTATGCATGTGGAAATTGAGAATAAGTTACTTTGGACTCTTTCGCATGAGGATTGTCCAAATTTAGTTTGTTGTTGAGATAATGAATGATAGACTGAAGTCATCCAGATGCCTGAAAAAGAAATTAGAAAATGTGTTGAGAGACTGTGGAACGGCATTCATTCGTTATCTGATGAAACTAGTAGCTCATGTCAAAAGTGCTTTGCTCTCAAGTGCTTTGGGCCCAGGTTTTTAATTTGCTGTGATTTAACGCTATTTACTGTGAAGGCGAAAGAATGAGGGAAGCAGGAAGCTGGGCAGAAAGACCGAGATGGATCGGAAGAGAGAAAGTGAGAGGAAATCATCCTGATGCAGCCAGAGTAATGGCCATTAGTAATTTTTGCTCAGTGAAAACGTTTCCAGAGTATAATTCTTCAGATAAGGGTTGACTGACGGGCAGCAGAGCCTACTCCTACTCCTCTGAGCCATGGTCCCCCTGTTCTTTCCCTTTAATGATGAGCTCTTTTTATGCATTTATGTGCAATGTTGTGTGTTCACAGCCTGTGGTCACATCCGTGCTGGAGGTGGTTGTTGGTACACTCCATCCTGATGCACAAGCATCTGTGTATTTTCACACTTAGTGCCTAGTGTGAGTCCTTGTACTTTGATGTGCAGATCTGCAGCGCTAGCCCAGTGGCCCCAGCAGCACGGGGACCATAAATATCCTCAAAACGGCAAATACTCAGTGCTGGAAAAAGTGCTGGTGTTTGGTATTTCCCATTCTGTTGAGCCATCAAAAGTTTGAGCAATGTGATAAGGATCATGGCTGGCTTTTAAGCAGGTAAGGCTATGCAGAGCTGGACGTGGCAGTGATGGGGTTCAAAAGGCAGGGAGAAATAAAAAGAGCGGATGGAATAAGCTGCCTTTTCCTGCTGCTCTGTGCCACCAGGGCAGGTGAACACTGCTATATCCCTTGTGTTGAAAAAATTTTTGAAAAACTGCAGTTATTTCTCTGAAAGAATTGTTTGCATATCATCATAGGCATTGGTGTTTGCAGAGCTGGGCAGATAATAACTAAATGGTGGGTAAATCACTCCTCAGCGGTTGCTTTTAGGAAGTGTCCAACGTAGAGAAGTGTTAATCGGGAAGGGCAGGGAATGCAGCACATCAAATGTAAAAATAGCTGCAAGGTGCTTTCTCTGCATTCAGGATTTTTTGAATTTTCTGATTAAAGTTTCACATGAAAATATGCTAGTGGTAGATAAGAAAGTTATTTGCAAGAGAACGGAAGGCGCTATTATGCCTGAAATCAGATTGCTGCTGCGGCAGCGCTTCTGAGTGCCTCCGTGGAGTGTTTGCTGGTGGCCCACGATGAGCTGCTGGGGCCGTGGTTCTGCCTGCTCCCCCCTCCCAGGGCTGCCCAGGGCCTTGGAGGGTGGCTAAAGCACTTGGCATGGAAAAACGGTGTTGGCCAGATGGGCGACGCAGTTGCCCTTGGGAAGCTGGACCAGTGGAGGAAGAGGAGTGGAGACCATCTCCGAATGGGTCTGTGACCCATGGTTTGTGAAGAAGGTGGAAGGAGATTTGCTGTGTGGTGGTTCATCATCAGTCTGTTACCATGCTTCACAGTCAAAAAGCCATTTCCAGTAATTTTGGCTTTCTGCTCTAGCATCAGACTCTGGAGGGAAACTGTAGACTCTAGCGGGGGTGTCGAGTACATTTTGTCGATAGTTTGTTTCCAAACTTCATAGTTGTCTGAAAAGCCATGAGAAAATTTCTCTTCTTTGTGCATGTTCCAGTCCCTTAGGGAATGATGTCCAGTTACAGGATTCATAAATAAGACTGTTGTATTAAATAACGATGTTTTGAGTATTCAGTCGTCTTGATAAGCATGTGGCTAAAGGGCAGGGTGAGGAAGCATTAATGTTAGTGCTTAAGATACTGTGATCTGCATCTAAACAACATGAAATTTGAAATTTTTCCTAATTTTTGTTAGGGTTGAATATTGATTGAATTTCACTTTGCTTACCTTTTGCAGAGCGTAAGGAAGGCAGTACAAGGCATTCTCAATAGTATTAAGAATTACTTTTTTTAAAAGTGCGATTAATGAGAAGTGTGTTTGCTTCACAGAATACAATTATTTTGTCAAATCTTCATTCAATCTACTGTTCCCACAATAGGCCTTTATGCTTCCTCATATTTTATCCGTGTTGCTGCTAGGAAACCAGTCATCCACATCTGAGAAGCACAATTAAGTGTCCCTGGTACAATATAGCTTCCATTATATGCCAATATAAAGAAAACATCAAAAGGATCCATAAAATAAGGTCCAAGGCTGGCAAGGATATTCAAGATGGGGACTTCATATCTAAGAATCTGCTGGTACATTGAGTGGCACATGCCTTGTTAATGAGAAGGCATATGTCTTCTTAATGAGAAGGCACTAGCCTTTAAAGGATACTATTTCCAGCAAGCTCAGGGACTGCACGTGAGGGATCTTCTCTTTGCGTGCTTTTTCCCTTCCTACATTGTATACTCTCCCATGCACAGCTCCAGATGAATGCACCTTCTAGTTCATTGGTAGAAAAACTTCTGAAAGGCATCTACCTTCCAAGAAAAGTTATTATATCCATTCTTCTAGTTATAGTGAACATTATATCAAAGACAACTGCATGTGTTGGTTTTGTTGTTGTTTGTTGGTTTGGTCTAGGGTTTTTTTTGCATGTACTCCTCTACTTCTTTATGAACAAAGGTCTCAAAGGGCATCAACGTTAGCATTTTAATTTCAATCAGGAGCATTCTTTTGAAGCAAATCTCCTGTACGTCCCCACTTTCATACTTTGGTTTGCATCTTGAGCAGGCTGAGAGTACGTTAGCTGGTCTATTTTGGGCATGCCACAAACATAGGGGTAAGCCTGATTTGCTTCAACCACGACTTGGTGGCATTCAGCTCGTGAGACCAAGCCAAAGCTATTCTAAACTATATCCAGGCACGCATCCCAAACCCCTTACAGCATGGACATTGTATTCTTAGTACCAGCCGTTTTACACTGCAGATGCACTGACGTTGAGGATAATGACATTATTTTCTCAAAGGTCTAATTATTTCTAGAAGAAGCCCTAAAAGCACCATGAGCTCTGCTTTATTTGTAAAATAGTCTCTCAAGAGTTTTGAGTTTGACTGAAATGTGTTAACAAGCCCAAAACTATGCCAAATATTGTCTTTTTCCTACTGGTTGTATGATATCCCTAGTGCTATCTAACAACAAGAGAGGAAGTTAAATAAATTTTTGAGGCTAAAAAGCACAGTCTGATCATGACTTTGTACAAAACATCAATCCTGGAGCCCACACTCACTCTGTTTTGACGCACGATTCTAATTTTGGCTGCCTTCTGTATCACAAAGAAACCAAAGAGTACCAAATGGGTTTTCATATGTACTTTAATTGTTGATGTATCTCAGTTTGGCAACTCAAGAACTTAATTGCTATCAAATCTGTTTCTCTTGCTTCGTTCAACACTGCATCTTTTCCCCCCCTCTGCTCAACAGCTTGCAAGTGCAATGGCCACGCGTCTGTCTGCAACACAAATACAGGGAAATGTTTCTGCACCACCAAGGGAATAAAAGGAGACGAGTGTCAACTGTGAGTTCATTTCACTTTGTTATTTGAAATTAATAGGCTATGCACATACCGGCGTGGAACCCCTACATTTTTTAATGATTGTGTTGATGATGTCTCTGCTCATCTCTTCCTGCTGACAGTTGACTAACTTCATTGACGGTGCAGCCAGCCGTGCTTCCCCTGGGGGGGGAAACATGAACATTTCCTGAAGATTTCTATTTTTAGGAACATTTCAACTGAGAATGACATGCAGAAAGGATGGGGTGAAAAAAAAATGCCCCCCACCCCCCAAACTATGCATACCACTTTGCTTTATCCCTCAATAGTTTCTTTTTAATTGGTAGATTTTTACTGTCCTGTGCACTCTGATGCTGTTCTGGGGGAATGTAAATATATCTGAAATAAGACTTTGACATTCAGGCATTTTAATGGAGCAGTTTCAGAGCAACGAATTTGCTGGAGGTTTCTCTGTAACATAACAGAAATGCTTTTAGTGTAATGTTAGTGGAAATAATTTCATTCCAAATGATTTCATTGCCAGGTTTATTTTTAAAGTGTTGCTCACATGAGTAAATGTTTATAGGACTAGATCCTGGAACAGCTGTAAATGGAAACTTTAGGTTTTCACTGAAGTTATCCAGTTCCCTGCATTATGAAGAGCTAATAAATGCATTCCAAGTGGATGCAAAAGTTAATAAGCAGAATTTTATATTTCATTTTACTGCATGCTAGTTTGACGTGCAAGGATCGTGAAATCTCTTCAGCAGCCCAATATAGCTCAGACATGCATCTTTTATTTTTAATTGTGTACCATTATCGGCACAGGTGGTGTTTTCTGATTTTTAGTGGCTGGGAATAAATAGAACTGAAAAAAATACGTTTATTAAAAAAATATGTATTCTTTTTAGGTGTGAAGTTGAAAACAGATATCAGGGAAATCCACTTAAAGGAACATGTTACTGTGAGTACTCCTGGGATTTTGTTCAGAGATAAAAAATGTGCTTGAAGTTTAAAATAACTTATTTAAAACTAGTTTTAGTTGCCTCAGCATCTGTTTAAAATACAGGGGATTAAGGGAATGACTGAAAAATGGTTTTAAAAAACTCCAGTTTTCACAAAAGTATTGTTTAAAGAGAATGAAAATACTCTTCTTGATAAGGTCTGTGTGATGATTGGATCTTTCAGAACAAGCTTTTAAATGTTTTTCACCTGACTTTGAAATGAAATCTGCTCTGGAGAATACTCTAAATACATACCTAATAAGTCAAAACCAAACCATATCTTTAGAATTTTTATAAGTGCAAAATACTACATTTTAAACATTCTGTTCTATGTTAGAATGGGTAAGGTTTCAAAATTGCCACATTTTCTCTGAAATGAACAGTTGGATTCCCATTCAATTCAAGAAGATACTTTGCCAAGATTCAGATTACTTAATGGAAACTCTCCAGCTTCTATTTGCAAATATTAGCAATCAGCATACTGGCAGGCATAGATAGATCTAATCTTAAATTACATAAAGATGCAAGCCTCAAATAGTATTTCTGTGCAACACAGAAATTATCCACATGCTGTATTTAGCAAATTTGAATTCTGCTTGTGTAGCCAAAACAGCCAAAACTGATGCCATCTTATGATGGTCGCTTTGCAAGGATAACCTAATTCATTGCTGCCAATGGCAGGGGGTGGTAAAGTGGGCAAAAAGGGGGAAAAAGGCAGAACTTTGCACCTCTTACAGGAACAACCTCATTCTATGCAGATGAATTTGGTTTTCTTCCTCAAAAATTTCTCAGCACTTCGTAGGAGTTGTGGACAGAGCTCAGAAGGTTGTCTAGCTCGTGTTTATCCAACAAGGGTTCTCCAGGAGACAATTAGAGAAAAGTAACAACTGATGTATAGCTTTTATTTATTATTGTTTGGAATATTTCTGCGTGGGTTTGGGAATATGTACAAGTCATACTACTTTATAATAAAAGGATACCCACAAGTCATACTACTTTATAATAAAAGGATACTGAGACTCGTGGATGCATTGCCAAAACTGGCTGTGCACTGTCTTTTAACAGAGAGGTGATAACCCCAGCCCTAGGCAGACATAAGTGTAGGAGGGCATACAGGTAGGCCAAAAACTGGTCCTGGCATGCCTGGATATGGTGTGACCCAGAGTAGGATGGCAGCTGGGTCCATTAAAAAGTAGCTGCTCTGTAGAAATCCTCCGTGTACAGTCCACTGATGTACAGAAGCTCATCATGCATGGAACTTAGTCCCCTCCCAAGTGGGGATTACAGAGTCTTATTTTATTTTGCTAGTATTCCCTGTGGAGGTATTGCAGTGTGGAAAAAATAAACATATTGTCAAGTTTTCTACAATGTATAGGTATGAACAGTCATTTAGATTAAGGCTGGAGGCTATTGCCTGGAAAATGTGAGCAGAATCTCTTCCCCCCTGTAGTCTCAACTTAGAATTTTTTGTCCCTTTTGTGTGGGACTATATACGGGTTGGAGTCATTCGTAACAGCATGGTGACTCCCAGCTGTGCACTCAGTGCAAGAAACACTTCAGCAACATCATACTTTGCTTTGCAGAAGTTTGTTTCATTCCAAGACATGGGATAACTTTCTCCGTGTGTTCCTTGCAGACACTCTTCTCATTGACTATCAGTTCACCTTCAGCCTTTCTCAAGAGGATGATCGCTATTACACAGCAATCAACTTTGTAGCAACACCCGAAGAGGTAAATTTTCTACTTTCCCTTTAAACTTCATCCTTTGGGGATATGTTTATTGTCTCTTGATGATGAAGAGTTACAGTTCTGTGAATCTCCAGATGAAGTCTCTTAACATGGCCTGTGTGTCCAGCTCCACGAAGCAACCCGAACTGTTTGAGCTTGGCTTGGCCATGCAGTTCCAAATCTTCATGGTAAAATTTCATAAGGAACCACAGTTGATTCTTTACAGTTGTTTGAACAACTGCTGAGCAACTCTAGTTTTGCTTGTTGTTCACACAATACGTTGTGTCTCTGTTTTTCCTGATTTATTCTACGTCTGTTACTTGTTTTGTTCTTTATTATGCTTTCCTGGGGGAGGAGAATACTGCTTTCAGAAAATGTAGGTTTTTTGCTTGATGTACTTGCTTCATGTAAATAACAAATGCCAAGATATTTTTTTCAGTGAAGGTGCTAGGAAACAGTACAGTAAAATTGTTATCCTAAAAATGGGTTTTCTTTTTTTTTCTCCCCCAAGCAAAACAGAGACCTGGACATGTTTATCAATGCATCTAAAAACTTCAACCTCAACATTACTTGGTCCACAAGTTTTGCAGGTAAAATGAGCATGATTTAAGCTTTTTTGGTAGCTTGCTTCAGTTACCAGTTTTGAAGAAATGCAAATTTAACTGGGGAAACTTTTTTTTAACCTATGAATGTGTGCTGTAATGATTTTAACAGTTAGGCCTGGGGGGCAGAAGTAAAATGCTAAAAAGAACTATATTTTTCTGTCTTAATAGTGTATTTTGGAAACATCAAAGGTGCAAATTTGATTTTTATTAAAGCAATATTTTGGCATCCAGTGATTTTGATAATGCAATGCAGATTAAAATAGGTAGTGTTCAGATCTATAGTTAATTTCATAACATTAAATTTCAGGAAGCTTTGCCCTTTCTGTTTTCCACTTAGAATGTACATTGAAACATCTTTGCTTACTACTTTTTAACATTTGAAAACAGCTGGCACACAGGCTGGGGAGGAAATTCCAGTTGTTTCAAGAACCAATATAAAAGAATACAAGGACAGTTTCTCCAATGAGAAGTTTGATTTCCGCAACAATCCAAACATCACTTTCTTTGTTTATGTCAGCAATTTCACCTGGCCGATAAAAATACAGGTAGGAGCTCTTAAAATGTGTATAATTATTTAAAAGTACTTTTTTCTTTCTCTCAAGCAATGTGGCAATTTGGTGTGATTTGCATGGTCCAAGGTGAACCAGTTCTCAATACAATCCTGCAGCAGACAAAGGGTTTGATACTCCTGATTAAGAGCAAAAAGGTGCATCTTCCTCTGATGTTGCCTCAACCCAGTGGATCTGAAAACTCACTGTGAAATAAATGCGGGATGCTTGCTTATTAACAGGGCCATGCTCTAATGAGGTTTCTGGCTTTAAATGTGTAGGTATTGATGTGGAAGGAAACAAAGACTCATATAGCCAAAAAACGAAGTCTGGAATGAGAAAACAGAGGAAGTGTTTTTAGTGTCACTGTTTAACATCTTGTTCTCAAAAGGCACAGCTTGAACACCACCCCCTTTCTCCTTGCGCTGCCCAAGGCTGGTGGTACCTGCAGAATAAGGCAAAGCTCATTTTTTCCTTTAATTCAGTGCAGTCAGTTAACACACACGTTGCCTCAGGTGTCAGACTGACTCTGATGATAAGGCTAGTGCTGAAGAAGCAGTGGATGAAGCTTGGTGGATCATGAAAACACTCACAGATCACAGACTGCAATCACAGAAACTGCAACTGGTGCGGCAGCTAATAGTTCAGAGAAACCTTGGCCACCTTCTTGCTCTGGGCTAAGTCAGGTGTCAATCTGCAGTGTAGTCAGGGTGATACAGGCACCTTTTGAAGGAGAAAAGGACTTCTAGGTCTGGAACAGAGATCTCAAATGAGACTCTGTGTATTTGAATTCTGCCTTTTTAAAGAAGCTTGGTCAAATGTGGGAACCCGTATTCTTTCATCTTCACTCTTATTCAACCTATTATTTTATGAAAGCTGATGATTTCACATTAAGTTACTTGATATTTCAGACACACCAGTCACCCAAACTCACCATAGGGGTCGCTTCCAACAAAGATAATGCTCATGATAATAATGAGCAAGGAAGTAAGGTCCACCTGGAAAAAAAGGTCCTTAAGCTATAGTTATATTTTTCAAGATATTTCCTGAACTTTAAAAAAAATATTATGAATACTTGTGAAATGTCTGTGTCACCTTCTGGTAAAGATGGTGGGTTTTAAGTACTCGGGAAACTTTGTCTTCTTGATTGCAGACTGGTAGATTTGATAGTCTGACTTTGGACTGCATTTTTGTTCTTTTTAATATCACTTACAATGTTGATAGTCATTCTCCAGCTGAAGAGTTTTCACTTTACACATCTGTAAAGTCTTAGTCTTCATTGTCAAGTCCTAATTTTTAGATATACAGGAGTTTACAAGAGCTGCAAGGTAAAACCTCAATGTTGTTGAATACTCGAGCAGCAAGTACTAAGCCTGATTGTGTTTATTTAAGATATGTACTTTTATTTAAGATATGTTTTCAGTAGGGGAAGTAATGTCCTGCATATATGAAGGTGGGCACTTTTGTAATGATTTATTCAGGCTTTTCATTTATCAAATTGGTAATCACAGGGTCAGAAAAAAAATAATATTTTATTTAACTTACGGGTTATATTGACTGATAAAGTACTTTCCGTAATCAGTGCTGGACTGTCCTTTACCCCGATTGATTTGTTTGCTATTTCTTGATGCAGAACTGTGTGTTAGGACTTTGTTTTAAGATGTTTGAAGATGTTAAAAGCTGTTTTAAGAACAGAGCTGTCTCCCATCCCTGAAGCTCTCCTGTGTTTACTCCAGTCTCCACCCTTATCTGTACTCATGGTGAATTTCTGCTAGCTTTTCCTATGCCAGTGCTGTCATTGAGTTTAAGTGTCCCTTCCATCTTCTTGTTTGGCAGCTGGGTCTCCTCTTTTTCCCTGGATTAATTTGGACAGGTCATATTCTCTCTCAGCCTTTAGTGTTTGTTTGTTGGCTTAAGGAAGACAAACCTCCATCATCTTGTCCTGTGAAACAGGTTATTCAGGTTCTGTTGCATCATCTGTTTTCCTTCTGCCCTTGTTTGTATTAATCTGATATAGTTTTGGTCAGTCATGGAGATCAGGTCTCGCCATTGCTTTGTACAGCAGTACCTCTACGTTCTTTATGGATCTTCCTAGTAGTGAACAGAAAATACTATCTTTTATGGTAGTATTTTGCTTTGCTCCTTCTCATGGCTGCAGCAATTAGCAGTCCTTATTCATTTTAAATTGGACTAATACACCCTGTTCTTTCGCATCCTTGTTTCCAATTGATGAGCTCCCAGTATTGATAGCAAACATTCTTTGCAGTGCCTAATAGCATTGTAAAATGTTATCCTGCTGCTGTTACCGGATAATATTGCCAGTCCTGAAAATCATCCAGTTGTTTTTCTGTGTGGTTCTTTTCCATATTTTTATTGATGATCTCCTTGGACTTTATCAGCAGGTTTGGTAGTCAGCATGCTTCCTTTTTTGGATCTGCGTCATTAATGAGCATATCTGTTAAAGTGTGTCCAAACACCATCCTTGAACTAAATTCTGTCCCCCTTTACCACTAGGATTCTTGAAATATTTCTCACCATCTTTGTCTCACGCGGGAATTTCTGATGTATTGAAATCCATAATGAAATTTGGATTAGCTCAGTTTTATTTCCTAGGTCTATACAACTAAATATTTTCACAACCAGAAAATAGTAGGCTGGCATATCACAGTTTACTGTTGTCAGCTCTATTGCTTGTTGAATTCAGTTTTTTAATTACTACTTCAGTTCTTGCTCTGAAACTTTGCATGCTATTGAGGTCTTGGGAGTGTGAATATCTAGATTCTCCCTCCTCTAAATAAAAGTTTTAAATTTTCCATAGTGCCACGTACAACTGGTAGATTGCTTTAACGGCTTGCTACCAGAGACATTATTTCATGTGCCATTTCTTTCGGAGTGCTGGGATGCATGCTGTCCGCTTTCACTGACTTTGAACACATTGAAATATTTGAGGTTTTTCTCCTCCTTGCCTGTGTTTCTCTTTATAACCTTGTTCTCATTGGAAACTTTGCCTTGCACCTGTATTCATTTTCCTTGTCCTTAATGAGGACTGTAATTTAGTTTTAGGGATGTAGCGGATTGGTTTTGATCTCTTGCCTATCCTTATGGCATCCCCCTTCCCTTTCTTGTCTCCTTTACTTCTATGGCTTAAGCATCTCTTGCTATTTTGTTTATAGTTTGCTGAGGTCTAGCATAGCTTGACATTTGGCAGTTCTTATTTTATCTCCGTACTACTTTCTGGCTTCTTGCTAATGAATCCTTTCCTCTCCGTAATGCGTAGACTTTTTAATTGTTCCTAATGTCCTTTTTGAGTTTAGTTCTGAAGATGCAGCATTCAAATAGTTTTGCATCTTTGACCTGAGAGAAATACTTAGATGGCTGCTTTCCCATTTCTTATCTCCTTAGTTCACTTGATTTTACTGTGATATTTAATTTCTCATATTTAAAAAGAGTGAACTTTGATTCTCTTAAAACACCTCTTTTTATCCTTAATTTAATATGAATTTGCTTGTGTGCATTCAATCCAAGGTAATTGAATATCACCAGCTCTTCTTAATGTCCTTTTGCTTGCCAACGCAAAGTCTAAAATAGCAACAGGTCTTTTGGATTAAGAGAACCTTTTGTGAAGAAGTCTAGCAGCGATACCACATCCAGGAATATGTGGTCCTTATGGTTTCTCTTAGCTTACTCTTCAGCTAAGAAGTCTTTTTTTCCACAATTGATGTTTTTCTGTCATCACCTCTGCATACCTATTGGTGTTGAATGTCAGACCTTTCTCATGTTTGCAACAGAAGTTCTTAATTACTTTGCTATGGCTTTGTTGTCATTCTCCAGGAACCCAGCTACGCCATCCAGGGGTACTGCTTTACTCCAACATTTCTTTTCCCTCCTCACCATCCTGATCATTTTTTTTTCAGAGCAGTTGATGAGTAGGAGATGGTATTATGAAAAGTAATGGTTCCATAGAGGAAAAACTAGAGGAAAGTCGGTAAAAAAGTATGACACTTTTTTTTTTTCCAGGACTCACTGTGCCCTTTCAGATCTTGTGCAATCTTCCATGGCAGATTGAGCTGCCCTCAATTGCCCTTAATTGCAGTCTGTGTTCCTACCTGTCCTTTCTATACCTCTTTACTATTTGCTTTCCCTGTTTTTCCTCTTTTTGTGAAGTCTTGGCTCCCTGTAGAAGTGTGTCTTCAATAAGATAAAATAGAAGATAACTCAAGGTATGGATTTTTGGGAAAAAGACTTCCTAGCCATTGATCCTTGACTGAGGTTCACTACAAGATTTAAAACAGAGCCATGGGGTGGCTCCTCACTTCTTGACTTCTCTGCATTCCTGACTGCTCCTTCAGCACTCCTTTCTTGTCAGGAATATTTTTTACTCACACCTTTCCCACATTCCCTCCCTCATTTCTTTTTCTAAGTGGCGTCCTTTATTTCCAAGTTCCTGTGTGGTTGGGTCTAGTACTTCAGGGCAAGCTGCCTCCTTAATTACAACTACATGTTGCAGTATGGCCAGGATGCAAACTGTTTTTTCTTATCTCAGAGACTGCCTCCTGCAGTTCTGCTCATTGCAGCTACGCTATTAAAGTTTAGGCAGCTACAGAACATGTTTCAATTTCCCTTTTGAAAATAGAGTGGTTTTAATATAAGAAGTATGATGAAGTCAGTGAAACTCTGCTACTGCCAGACTGCTGGAAAATATTCTCTCCTGGTGTGTGTGTGTGTGCGTCACCTTGCAGCTTACGCATGTGCTTGGTCTGCTCTGTGCAGCACAGCATGCCCTACCAGTATTTCGGGGCTTTTTTGTTTGTTTGAATATCATAATAGACAGTCATTGTAGGTACACTGCCTTATCCTAGCTTATTTTCAGTTTAGATATAGTAGATGTATCTGAACAAAAGTGTTTATGCATATATGAAATCTTGCAACAGAGAACTTTTAGAAAAGTAGAGTCTTTACTGCAGAGCAATTAATCTACAATCCACGATATTTAAAAA